GGGGGGGGAATGGTCTCATGAGAGAACACCTTATGCAGGCAAAGTCTCAAGATTCATATCCTGGAAGTAACGGAGCGCCTCGTTGACGTCTCCAAAAGTTAGCCCTCTGTCCCCATTCGGCTGTCAAAAGCCAACCACCCCATCTTTCTAAGACGCTCGAAGAGAATTCCCAAGAAAACTCATTGAGCCAGTCCTCGCCCCATACAGTCATTTGTCCTGTATCCTCGATGTCACAGGCGATGGTACAAGCTTCCGTGAGAAAAGTGTTGGCATTTGCTGGACCGATCGCAATCAAACTATCTCTTAAACTGGGCGAAGGTATCATATCGATGTATGCGTTATGAGGTGTCGTAAGCTGTAGTTGCGAGGGTTTTAGGGAGCTGGGTAGTGATGGCTCTAGCGCCGCGAGAGTAGTGAGATGACTCTGTGGATTGTAGGTGACCGCAATCTCGAGCAGAGGCCCAAACCATTGATGGAGTGTTCGGCGTATCTCGATTAGATTGTGAGGTACCACGACCACCAGGTTGTTAGGGTCGCTGCCAGCACTCGTGAGTGATGGTGGTGCTGATGGAGGAAGAGGCCCCAGTAGAGGACCGGGTAGATAGGGAGTTGAAGTTCCGGAGACACCTAGATACGGGGCCACACCTGCGGTTGTCCCAAACTGTAGGTAGCCTGTTGGCGAGGCTCGCACTTCAGCCGGGCTGACCGAGGGTCCCGGTGAACTGGCCTGAGAGCCATATGCTGCCTTCAGTGTCTCATTTTCCTGGGCAAGCAACTGGTTCTCGCGACGCAACCGCTCGACTTCTTCCAGTTGGACACTGGTCAGCTCACGTTGCGCGGCTTCGAGTTTGCTCAAGTGCTCCTTGCGCCTTTGTCCTGGTACAGATTAGTCGCTTTGATCAAGGATGGCATGAGGGAAGGGCGCCCCGGTGCGTAACGGCAATGGTACTTACGGAATACGCGTTGCGCGTTTCGGTTGTACTCCCTGCAACATGTTAGGAATGACCTGAAAAGGAGGATAAGTGAGCAACCTTTTTTTAGCCGCCTTACTTGCTTCAGCTGAATCATTTTCTGACCCCGACATGGTAACAATAGTGACAGTCTTGCTCTGGGTTTGCTCAATGATTTCCGTGGCGACCGACATCGTTCATGTATCTCTGCCAGACCCTCTATGAATGTGTCCCGTCAGATGGTTGAAAGCAGAAGGAAAAGAAAAATCCGAAACTACTATCCAGCTGGCAGCACTTGTCTCCAGAAGCGGGACCAGGGTTTACAGCTGATAGACCAAAAGTTGTTGGAACCACAACGCAAGGCTTCAGGAACTGATGTACCTAGGTCGCAGAGGAGACAAACCGAGCTGGACAAAGGTGGGTTAGCGAGCCTGATTGGGTGACGCTGAGAGACGAGAGGAGAATGAGGCAACGGCAGCCTGCGAATAGTGGGTGTTCTCACCATGCAGGAGAAGTGTTCCTGAGGGTTGACGGCTTTAGACTTAAGTAGCGGCTACCATGACAAGGAATCCAACGGCTGTATGTAGACTGATATGCAAAGACAATGCCTTGTCCGGATTTCGGGTGGCAGCCGAGCTTCCTTGGTCAGGACCTAGACCCTCGAGCGTTTACAATTCACCTCCTGTTCGTCCACTTCAGTAAAGATTCTCCCGCTGAACAAGAAGCAAATGGAGCAAGCCACAATCCTTAGTCAGGTGTCAATCAATCTGTAGTTCGTCCAACAGGCAAACAGAAGCTGCTCACACTAAGATAAAGTACGCACTCAACGGGTCCCGGCTCTGCGCGGACAGAGATCTCCATGAAATCGGAACTTGGATTCCTCGTTAGACAACAATGCACTGGCCGAGCCTTGATGCGGAGGGATCCGCAAAATCAGCAGCCATTGGCAAGAACTATCGAGGTCGACCTGCAGCCAGGTGGTGGATTCGAACTCAAGCCGGAGAACCCCTCGAACTGGAGCCGACACAATCACCAGATGGTACTGTAGATCGCCCTCACCCGCAAGTCAGCCGTCCCGTCTGCCGGGAGGCCGCCATGAGAGGCTAAAATGAGATGCCGTCTTCGGGTGGATAAGCACTTGCAAGAAGATGTGAAACATTCTCTCAGGTCCCGTGCAGACGGGCAGCTTGGAGGAGGTCCATCTCAGATTCAGCAGCCAAAGGTGCCTCAAACGGAATAGATTGAAAGACTGTGCTAAGACCCACGTTCCACCTCAGCCAGGTTTCGTGGTTACGAGTTCGCCAGGTTCGTCCCTTTGTGGCGCGCCAAACAAGCCACAAAGTGGGTTTTTGGACCACGGGTGTCAGCCCTTCAACCGCGGGAATCCCCACGAATACAGCTGGAGAGCTGCCCGGTGATGCCCTGGAAAGTTGACGCAACAATCGTCCGTAGTATCCCACTGCCATTATTGGCCACGCTATGCTCCGTAGTTATGATGTGAATTGAGCTGTTCAGCTTCAAACTCCCTGCTTGTATCTACGTTGTACCACCAAATGGTCCACTCATCGCTGATGCGGTAGGGAAGGTTGTCAAGTATGGGGTTGGCATGAACGCACACCGTGTTCCGTGTGGCAAGCGGCTGTACCTCTATCCTGGTCGGGCATATCTTGCGTTCGTCGGTCGGATTTAATGAGGACTGGGGGATGCTGCAAGGCAAGTTCGTTGGCGGATCGGCAAATGAATCTTCAGCTCTCATAAGGGCCATCTGCAGTGGTTCCATTGTACCTAGGTCGATTTGCAAGGACCCCTGTTCAGCTGGACTATGGGCCCTGGGCCCCCAGTCCACCAGCGACATGAATCCACCTGGAAAGTCGTCGGACGAACAGGGGTTGGATGAGTGAGGATCTGGTATTGTCGCTCGATCGCTGACTAGGCGTTCTAGGCGTGCAATTGGGTCGTTCAATTGTGATAGCGCAATGCATCACGGCTCGGCGGCCTCGGCTGTGGCATGGAATTGACAAGGGGACAGCGACATATTAATTATTGCCGGACGTGAGGAACGGAATGACACCTTGGACAGCCTTCAGAACCGATTATGGCAACCCTGAGGCGTCCCAAGTGCAACATCAAGCAGGACTATTCTGTAGACGGATATTGCAGGTCCCTAGAAAGGATCCGAGATACAGTAGTAGAGAGTGGCGGGTTGTTGCCTGCTGTCTACCTAGGTACCGTACCTAGGTAGGGAAGCACTGCATGATTGGCAAGTGCGGGCATCGCAGGCGCAGGTTTGCAACGGCGACACTGGCAGTACAAGTGAGCAGTCCATTACTACCTACTACACTGTAGTATGCTACGCTTTGCCAGTGGCAGGTATAGGCGCCAATATCCATCAAAACGCCCAACCGACCACCACCACTGCTCTACTCCTGCTACTAATAACACTGGAGGGTGCCACCGCAAATGCTAGTATAGCAGAGACATTGTCCCTTACTACTACTAGTACCTGAACAAGTGCCTGAGCCGACGGCGAGCCTGTCAGCCATTCCTTTCGATCCCCTCTGACGAACTACCGCTCGCGTCAGCCTTCTGGTGGCCTTCTATTCCAGGCTCCAAGATTCTCGATGGCGGCATGTGACCAGAGGGCCTTCTCTTCTACAGCTGTCTCGCTTCCCCCTCGCATGTCTACGGCCGTCTCAATGCGAGCGATGGTTGATAAGTCTGTATTTACGTACAATACGAGGAAAATCTATTTCTCCTGCCAATCATGGTGCTGACTATGCCGCGGGCAGATAGCGCTCCTTGCGCAATATAGAAGCACCCGTGTTACAGCCGCATTCAGCCACCGATGATCTGCATTGGATCTCTCACTTCAGCAGCGGGTTCTCCCTCGATGAAAGGTACCGATGCACAGATTGGCAATGGGAACGTATCCACACTACCAGTACAACCCTATCTCCCGATCTGGCTGGGAAGCCATCGTGGAACAGGAATCGATGGTAACAAGCGACGCTGCTACCTGCAGGTGGCTATCCCCCCCCAAAAGAACAGTACCTGGTACATCGTAGGTATCTGGGTATGCAGCTTGGCCATACTGGATCAGATTCAAGCAACGCTGATGGAGTATCACTTGGTTCGATTGTGCAGACAGACGATGGTCGCGTTGAACTGTACGCCAGTGAATGAGACCGGTGCACGGAATCGACCGTCTCTTGGAATCGAGCTGATCCTCAGGTCCATAATTGAATCACTTGTATGGCTACGTCCATAGCAGTGGTGGCCCAATTGGCCATCACTTGGGCTAAAAAAAGCTCCCCCTTCGCTCACGCCAAACACTCGCTAGTACTACTGCCGATTCGACGTCTACTTGCGTTATGGGCCCTGGTCAGTCTCGCCTTGTTTGATCGTGTCAGTGACGGCTGGGTAGAGGCATAAGGGCGTCAAAAAATCCCACTCCCTGTTTAGGAGCATAATCCCTCACTATGGGCGGAGAGTGACCGCTCACGGTGGATGACGGACAGCGGAATTCCAAAAATTCCAAAAGATATTGCTCTTTCGTCCTCCATGTGGGTTGATGGATGGTGGGAAACGTGATGGCCATTCCCGCGTTCACAAACTGTTCCATGACCATGAATCGATGTCACACTGCTGTGGTAGTTACAGGCGAGCAGATGTACAATGCTGTATCTTGCACCCATCAGCAATGAACGCCTTCTCCACATCGATGGACTGATTGCGCCGACGGCATGGTTGGGCTTGTGTACTAATATCGGATTCAGCTCTCGATGAGACCACCGTACAACAAATCAATTGCTTTTTATCAAGGTTCATGACCGCACCGAAATTGGCTCGGAAGCATTTTAGCGACTGCTTGGTCGAGTCATATGTCCAAGGGCACTCGTGACAACATGCTTCTACAGCCCTGAGCGCTGATATCTTTGCTCGGTAACTCAACAAGCACTGCCGTAGGAGGCGCGGAGATCCATCTGTGTCTCCTCTACCACGTATGGTTGCTATTCGCCGGCCACCATCCCTAGTATGTGCTTCAAGCTGTCGGCGGATCAGCCTACCCAAATCCAGATGATGCCAATAACCACGTCCAACCCCTTGCTGTCGGCGCCGGGGTACTTGTAGCTCCACATGCCGTCCTTCTCGTTGTTCCAATATGCGCCACTGGCCGCATGCATGCCACGACGACCACTTGTCTTCTTGCCGTCATCGCCCGGAGTCGACGAAGCAGCCGCATGTTGTATGATTGTGCTGTTGACGATGTACTTGAACTGAGGCTGGGCAGGGCCTGATCCCGATGCTGATTTTTGGCTCGTCTCCTCGACCAAGGCGCCTAAGATGCTGTTGATGATGGTCGTATTCCAAGACTCTGTCTCTGGGTGTGAATATGCTTTAACGTCTGCAAGAGCGGCCTCGCACGCCTGAAATCAAACGTCAATTCTTCGTACCTAATAGAACTTGGAGAAGGACATGGTGGTTACTTACATTTTCCGTAATCTCCTTGAGACGGGTGTAAGGGACAGGGGGCGTGGCGGTGTGATCGGATGCCATGTTGGTCAAGGTCTTTCCGCCTGCTTGGTCGACACAAACGTGTCCTCGTTGTTCCTGGAAGATAGAGTCTTGCTGTGAGGGAGGCTGCGAGGCGACCACACTGTCTCCGGCAGTAGAAGTAGGTGCTGCTCTTTCTCGTTCACTACAGGCCTTGGGTGTGATTGCTGTTGCTTCGCGACGCAACACAGTGTCGGAGCTCGAATGGGACTGACGATCGCTTTCGGTTTGTATTCCTGCTGGATCTTGATCTTGATCTTCTACTATCTCAGCAACCGAACCTCTGCGAAGCTTGGGCTCTTGCGGCTGCTGCAAATGATGTCCCAGATGTCGGCGAACAGTACCTGACTCTGTATCCACCTTTTGCTCTTCGTAGTCCCGTCGTTGCGCTTCACCTTTCCACCGTTTCGAGCGAAGGCTGAAAGTCGAAGCTTTTCTAGCCAGTCGTCTCCGAAACTGGGTCAATGGATGGTTGTGCTGCTGCTGGAGATCGAAATCAGGTAAGAGCTGATTCTGTTGTTCTAGAGCGGTCTTCTTGTTGGTGCTGTTGTTTGACTCGTCGTCACCCAATATCTCGGGACGAGAATATGCTTTCTGTAAGCGGCTTTTGGTCACCAGTATCTTGTTGTTGTTGGCCTTGTCCCGCTGGCCAGTTGCGTCCAGGCCATTGCCATTATTGCGTTCCGATGTCCCGGCACTGATGGTCGATTTGACCTTCCGTAGTAGGGCGGACATGATGAGCCCGCAAGCGCAACTCAGCACGTGCCTTTGCCTTATCGAACCAGGGATCCAAGAACTGGCGAATGGGAAGCTGTAATCCGAGCACCTGCTCGCTTGTGCAGTGATGACGCCCCGCAGAATGAAGTAACTGTCCAGTCCGGTCGTGGTACAAGTACGGGCATCGATCGAAATAGTAAGGTGCAGTCGTAGAGTGAGGTAGTGCCAGTGAACAAGAGAGAAAAAAGCACCAGGAACAGACTTCTCTTTTGCAAGCTTCACCTTTTACCTGGTGTATACTAGCACTTCAGTTTTGTTATTGTCCAAAAAGGCCAGGCTGCATCATTAATCAGTACCTCCTACCTGGGCGTGAGTGTTTGGTATGATCGTTGTGTTGAGAGAGGGATATTGGAAACCCGTCGACAACAAACAACACTGAAGGAAAGCTTCCGGTTTCCTCTGCACGCATCCGTGGGACCAAGGGACCTTCATTTTATCGCAACGCTCGACGACGGCTTACCGTGCGCTCCGGGTAATACCTATCTACTCAGCGGAAGTCTGTGGCGATCGATCTGTTTCATTGAAACTATTTCTGTGGCCACCTCTTAGGTTGTGGCAGCAAGAGAAGCAAGACAATTGTGATCCGAACCGACCGCAGAGATTGACGGTCAGACATACGGCTCAACAAGAGGAGGGCCTTGGAAGAGACACTGAACTCTGGTCCAAGTGACGCATCAAAAGGGCATCCATCCATACTACGGGTTGCTGGAAGTCGCAGTGATTGATTGCAACATCTGCGTGTCAGGAGAATAAGATCACTGTCCCTTCACCACCAACGCGCAATTTTGTTCTTCAAGACGGGCTGGCCATTGTCAATATAACGTCGCCAACAATATGTCTCAACAGCCACTTCTTCAGAGTGCCCCAGGTGATTATTCCCCATGTCCCTTTCCCTCTGCAAGATGAAACTAATCTCTATTCACAGGCAAACGCATCGCTCTTCCAACCCGGGTAGAGCCCAAAGTCTTCTTTGCCAACGAAAGAACCTTCCTTTCATGGCTCAACTTCACCGTCATCCTCGGCGGTCTTGCCGTCGGTCTCCTCAACTTCGGTGACTCGGTCGGCCGCATATCCGCCGGCTTGTTTACCCTGGTGGCCATGGCCGCCATGATCTACGCTCTGTTCACGTTCCACTGGCGAGCAAAGAGCATTCGGGTGAGAGGCCAAGGCGGATTTGATGATAGAATTGGGCCCACTGTTCTGGCTCTGGCTTTGCTGGCGGCTGTGGTGGTCAACTTTGTGCTCAGAATCGTTGAATCGTAAGCAAGCTCTCGAAACGGTAAAAGCTGGTACGAGAGGTGGGGATAAACTTGACGGTCGGTTGTTGGGACCGAGTAATCTATATGGACGTGGATTGTACAGACTCCCTACAAGGGAATGAGGATAAAGGGTCCAGGAGGAGAAATGAAAGGCAAATCCGTCAAGCTTGCTCAGTCACTGCTTCTCATGTTTTTAGCAAGGATAGCGATGGTTACTACTACTACTAGTAGTTCCAAGCATCGAAACAAGCTTGGATAGCGTTGTATCGAGGAAGAAAGATTGCCCTACCAACTACAAGCGCGTGTCTCATTTGGCCCTTGAAGTTTCCGTCTTTCAGCCTAACGCCCTGCTCCAAAAAGGCCGTTCAAGTTTCTGTCACAGTGCATCCATTTTCTCTTTCGTATCCGTCGAAAATTAAGGCAATAAAACCGTACCACTTTCGCCCAATCTAGGATGTAGGTACCACACAATTGATGCAATGGTCATTCCCCTCTGCCAGTGTCCCATGGCTGTGCTCACTGCATCTGTTGGCTGTCTACGGACAGTGCGCTGCCTGAGCCCAGCTCCCAGTCCGAGGGGTCCCAATCCGGGCCGTTCTACGGCGGATTAGAGTAATCGTTGAGAGCGACGCAGACGGCGCCACGGTGGTGACCACTGTACTGTCTGATGATGCTGGCGGTGCCGAGTTCCCACAGACGGGCATAGTGGTCGCTACAGACGGTGACTAGATAAGCCGAGTCGGCGCTGAACGCGCAGTCCCATACCCACCGCTGGTGATTGTCAAGCACGGTATCGCAGGGCAGAGGGCGCCGCTGGGTGATGAGTTCGGTCAATGTTCGGAAAGACGCTGGTGACATCGGGGGTGTGGTGAAACCGCCGCCCGGGGAGTGAGATCGTGAGTCGGGGTTAGCAACGGCATTGAAGCCGCCTGAAATGATTGGACTGGATGTTGAATTCGAGTTAGGTCTGTCATTGGTGGTGCCGTTGATTGTACTAGTATTGCCGTTGCCATTGGCGTGGCCGTTGCCATTCATGTTCTGGTTCTGCTGGTTTGTGGGTGGCCAATTGACTCCACCATCGTTGTTGACCTGCTCATCGCTAGGGTAGGAATCTCCTGTCGAGCCGGGGACGGCTTCCAGGTGTTCTTCATTCATATCAATCTTCCAAATCCGTACGGTGTGGTCTGCGCTGCATGTGGCAAGGAGTCTGATGTCCGGTGACAGCAGCAGACGTGTCAGGTAATCTTTGTGAGCCTTGAACACGCGGCATGGTAACAGAGTGGTGGAATCTTGGTTCTGATACATTCGCCAGATGTAGACGTCGCCCTGGAAACAAGAGAAAAATTCAGCAGGAGGTAAAATAGACGCAACATGGGTAAGAAAGTGTGCGACCGCGCTAGACCATACCAGATTATTGCCAGCAGCAAGCAGAGAACCATCGCTAGCCACGCTAACACTGGCCATCGAGACGTCCTCCACAGGGACGAGCTGATGGGTGCATTTGCTCTCGCCCAGGTCCCAGATCCGAATGTTGCCGCCTCTGTCACAGCTGACCAGTTCTCCCTGGTTGGGATGAATGACCACGTCGTTGACAGGGTGGCTGTGTTGGTAATTGCGCTGAACCTGCCCGGACCTCGTATCCCATACTCTGACTGTCGAATCTTCCGAGCTCGTCACCATCCATTTGCCTTCACAGTGGAAGGCTACTCCTGTGATATTGTTCGTATGTCCCTCGAATTGCATAATCGGGTTCGGGTTAGTCGATTTGATATCGTACAGCCGCACCATATGCCGCCCCGCTGCGGCAAGGTACTTTTTGTCCGGTGTGATGCATAGTCGGTTGACTTGAGATTCTGGGTGTTGGATCGTCCGCGAGCATATCCCTGAGAGAGCTTCCCAAAACCTAACACAATAAATGAGGGCTGCCCGACAAGCATTTTGGAGGGGAAGGAGACGTGGTGTCCGGACCTGATTGTATGGTCATAACCAGCTGCGACAGCGATGTTAGCGTCATCCTGCGAAATAAAGTGGCATTTCTAGTCCCTACCTGTACATAATATCACGCTCATGGTGACTGCAGGTGGTCATATCCGACCACTTGAGTCTGCCAGACTGACAATCGTTATCCTATTGAACTGGGCGAAATGCGCTGGCATGCATCGGCGAGGGAGGGCAGTATTACTGGTATGATGTGGGGGGAGACTTGCCTCAGCCTGCGCAGACGGACAGACACTGCACTGGCTGCAGACACGGGGATCAAATTAAGTTTGGCTGTAACAGGTTAGCGTGACCCGTAAAGCTTCGGGGAATTCACGCAAAGCTTGTTTGATTTTTGTCCAATAGGCGACGCAGACCGCACGAGGCTCTCATCTCAGGGCGAAGCATCCGTTTGGCTCCCTTCGAGTTCAGAAAAGAGTCAATATCAACCACGTCGTTTGTAGCTCGAATTGCAGTGCCGTGGTGAATCTCCTTTGTGGCCGGCTCAAACGGTCATTTCGGTTTGCAACATCCACGGTGATGACTATTATAGGTGGTCATAAGATTACTCACCGTTCCACTTCTGCAGAAACCTTGTGGTGTGCGGTTGGTGTGCTAGCCTGGGAGAGGGTTCGGAAAGGCCAGGCTGGCCATAACCTTTCACAGCCAGTGGTAGGGAGCAAAATAAGCTATTACGTGATTCCACCAGAAACGGCATATGGAACGGTAGGTCACGGGGTTTCGCGTTTTCCCTGCATTCGCGTGGACGCAGAAACTCGAGAGCACTTCGAGTGACTCTTCGCGTGGTGCAGTATACGGCATACCCTTCCGCTGGTGGGTGCAAATGGATGAATTCATGACTGTACCAGAAAAGGCATACATGACAGTAGGTCACGCGAGTTCGCGTTTTCCCTGCCTTCACCTACGCGCAGAAAACTCGAGAGGACTTCGAGTGACGCTTCGCGTTGTACGGTAGACGATTTCTGAGCGGCCCGGATGGGCATGCTCTTCCGCTGGTGGGAGCAAATAAGCTAGTACATGATTGTACCATCGAAACCATATGGGGAGGTGGGTCTCGCAAAGGGGTTTTTCTTGAACTCGCTTGGGCTCAGAAAACTCGAGAGTACTTGGAGTGGCCCGGAGGGGAATACCCTTCCGCTGGTGGGAAGAATGGACCAGGACATAATTGTACCAGGAACTTGAAAAGCATAATGGACGGTGGGTCTCGCAGGACGCCTTCTTCTCGAACTCACTTTGGCTCAAAAGACTCGAGAGCACTTCAGCTTCGAATGACTGTTCGCATGGTACACTGGCAGTGCACGGTTTCTGAGTGGCCCGGATGGACATACATAACCTTCCGCTGGTGGAAGCAAATGAACCAGTACAATATTGTACCAGAAACCTGAAAAGCATATGGGAAAAGTGGGTCACGAAGAGCGCGTTTTCCTCGAATTCACTTCTGGGCGCAGAGAGCTTGAGAGGACCTCAAGTGACTGTTCATATGGTACGCGACGACGCGGTTGATATTGTTATTGGTTATGTGTTGCAGCAAGCTCTGCAGCAATATGGCACGAACGACAATAGGATGGAGCTATGGTGAAGCCGTATGTGAATTATTCTCCCGCGTCTGGTCTTCACAGGGCAGCGAGGTCAAACAGTGTAGGGAACTTCCAATAACACATCATTCCATCCTGTTTCCCATTCAGTTCTATTGAACCTTCGACTCCTTATGCTTTACGCGTCGAAAGGACGGCGAAAGCAGCAGGGGAACCTTCATCTGCTCTTTTTTCTCCTTCAAGTACCTGCTCCCTCTCCCTCGATCTGTTGAACTTCTTCATCATACACTCACACACGCACACACTGATACCCACACGCGAGTTCACACACTCTCACACACGGACGCACACAACACACACATTTCTTCGCCTCTTGAACAGAACATCAACACTCGACAGAGCAGAGCACTTTGAGCTTCCCAGCAGCCACAGCACCTACCTCCCCCTATCACTCGACCAAGTGCACACACTGCCTCTCACATTCACCCAAAGCGAAGATACTTGTCGGGCAAACAGCTGGCACTGCCCCGTGATTCCACCCGCGTTTACCCTCGGACTCAGAGCTTGCCTGCTTTCTTCACAGCACCAGCTGAACATACAGACACTCGTCATCAACTCCCTGACAGGTAAGGTGATACACGCGGACTTGCACTCTAGTGTTGCGCTTTCGACTAACACTCCCAAGCACGCTGTCACTCCCTCTGCCTCGACCCACCTTGTACCCACCACACCCCAGACTCTTGCTCTTCCCCACATACATAAAAGCATCGAGAGAAATGGACGGCTTCAACAACTATCAGTTCTTCAATGGCGGCGCTGCAGGACAGGCCACGGGCAACGGGGGCGACTGGTACAATCCTACCAGCGCCTACCAGCCCGGGCCTGCAATGAACGCCATGCAGCCGCCAATGATGATGCCGGTGACAGGGGTGAACTCGATGATACCGCCCATGACAACAGCGCCGATGTATACAACGACCTCGATGCAGACAATGACATCGTCGCCAATGCATCCAATGACCTCGATGCCGCCCATGCCTATGGCTCCGATGGCCACAATGCCGCCGCCGCCAACAACCCAAATGGCTAGGATGTCCACCCCTTATGGCACCAACAACAACGGCAACTCCATGTTTCAGGGAGTTCAACAAGGCCAAGTTCAACAACAGGGCGGCGCCGGCCAGAAGCGAAGCTTTGCGGATTTCGCAGAGGGAGAGCCACAGCTGCAACAGCAACAGCAACAGCAACGACGAGCTCGTGCCTTTGTCCCTTCTTTCGAACAGCAGCAGCAGCAGCAGCCGCAAATGACCCAGCAAGTTGCCCAGGTCCAGGGCACCATGGCGGCAGAACTCGAGAGGCTCCGCAAGGAGGTCCTCGGCTTGCGTGCAGAGAACCAAGCTTTCAAGGAGCAGAAGCAGTCTTTCAAGGAGCAGCACCTTCGGGAGCTGAAGAAGGCACGGGCAGCCTGCGACATGCTCGCCGCCAGGGCTCGGCAAGCTCTCCAAGAGAAGCAGCAGGCCATCCAGGTCGGCCAGAGGCTCAGCCAGGAAAACACCAAGGTCCGGGCATACTACAACGTGCTCCGTGGCCAACTCCACTTCACGGTCCGGGACAACGGTCTCCTCGAGCCTGTGGTTCCGGAGACCGGGCGGGCCATCGACCTCACCGGCCCCGAGGGCCTTGAGTACAGCAAGCGGTTCAAGGAGCTGGTGAAGCCTTACGTGGGCCAAACAGTACCAGTAGACCGCCGCTTGCTGCAGCCGCAGCACAATGGGGGCGCCTCAGAGCTTGTTCCTCCACGTCTGGCGCTGGCGTCAGTCGTGGATCTGACCAGCGAGGAAGAGGTGGGTGAGGTCGGTGCTGTCCCTGTCCCTGCTGGTGCTGGTGTTGGGGTTGCTGATTCTGCTGGTATTGATGCTGCTTCTGCTCCTGTTGTTGCCGACAACGATAACGACAATGTTGTTATGCGCCCTCCCGCTGTCCCTGGCTCCCTCGTTGCTCCTACACCTACGAGACCTTCTTCTTCCTCTGTAGCAGTCGTTGCAAACCCCGGCAGTGCTGCCACCCCTCTGCCATGCACGCCCGCTACTCTTTCTCTCTCCGCTGCTCCGGTGCTGGCCACCCCTCCGACATGCACACCCGCCGCTCTCTCTCTCTCCGCTGCCCCGGTCCTGCCCACCCCTCCTCACTCGTCGACAGAGAGCGACGCCACCGCCACCAACAGCGACGTCCCGAGACCGAAAAAGGCCAAGAGAAGTCTGGACTGGATGGTCCACAAGGCGCCTCCAGCCCTGCACAAGGCCATGGGCCGCCTTCCTTACCTGCAGACCAACATGCCAGGCCAGACCGACAACGACTGGTTCTGGCAGCTCAACGCCCCGGCCTCAGCCAATCCTCCTCCTCCGGCGGCCACAGCGGCAGCAGACAACAACAACAGCAACCACAGCGGCAGCAGCAGCGTCCCTACCCCAAATCCTCCTGCCCGAACAACCGCTCGTGCTCGTGCCGGTGCTGGTGCCGGCTCCCGCAAAAAGGCCGCCACCGAACCCAAGGCCAAAGTTACAAGGCCAAAGGCCAAGGCCGCGCCCAAGCCAAAGCCAAAGCCCAAGCGCGAGGCGGCCACCAAGAAGGCGCCGGAGGCACCGAAGGCCAAGGCAACCAAGCCAAAGGCAAAGACCCCGACACCGACGCCGGCACCGGTAGAGGAGCGTCCTCGACGAAGGGAAGACAGTCTCTTCGACGGCGATGAGGAGGACTTCATGAGCCAATGGATCGAGCTTGAAGAAGCCGAGTCCAAGCAGAAGGAGACAGAGAAGGAGAAGGAGAAAGAGGTAGAGGAAGAGGAAGAGGAAGTCAGAAACTCCGAGGTTCAGGAGTTCATGAACTATTGGAACCAGCGAGACGACTCGGAGGCCACCGCAGACAAGGCGACCGAAACTAAGCCAGACACCGCGGGAGGAGCGGCGTTCGAAGAGGGGCCCTGGTCCGAAGACGAGGCCGCCGTCTGCAGCGAGCTAGAGCTCGTTTACCCCGAAGACGAAGAGTCCGAAGTCTCTGAGGAGGAATAAGAAACGAAGAGCAAGATGTGAGAGGGAGCTCAGAGAGGAGCAATCAGTGCAGGATGAGATTCAGGTGACAGATGGGGTGACGACAACTTTTCTTTCTCTGAAAGGGTCGGGTACCATTTCAGCAAGCACAGCCTTGAACGAAAGCATTTCAATGCACGATAGAACGACCATAGCGACGGCGTTCTGAGGATGGGATTTTGGGATCCTTGGTAGATCTTACGGGCATTGATTGCAGTGCCTTACAGCAACGGCACTAGACGAGACATCACACCGTGTCATGGACATTCGATGAGGAACGTGGAGGATTGAGGGCAAAGCAAGGCGCCGAGGAAAAGGCACGGATGAGCTGCAGGCAGCTCTTGATCGGCCATAATGGACACAGATGGGAAAGGATAAGGCCACAAAATGGATACATCTGCTGGTCAGATGAGTGACTTGGTCGTGGCATGCAGATTGGAATGAAATGAGATAGACATTAATGGCGAGAAGCAAGGGAAGCAAAGTCAGGAACTTGAGAAAGCGTACCTTTGATAGGTAGCTTGAATTGAGATGCTTCTGCCAAAACCACAGCAAGATTGTTCGAAAGCTCTCTTTTCCGTGTGAATAGAACTTCATCCGTTCTTCAAATCTAGCTTGATCAGTGAGTGTATAACAAGCAGTGTAGAGATGTCACTTATTGTTGTCACTTTTGTACAGGCCAGCCGCGGTTCTGGGGCTTGATATCAAGGGACATTGACTGATCCAGAACAGTGTATTTTGTTGAGGTCAAGAATCGTGTCTCGATTTCTAAGGTCCGAGCTCCAAGCGCTATGATATATCTGATCACTTATGGTGGGAAATTACTTGAACAACTTGAACCGCTAAATGCAATCATCCTATAGCCTGAAGTGCCTGAGGTCGTTGCTAAGGACGCCTACACTCTTACAGCGAAGCGGGTACAAATAGGAGTGATCTCGCCCGCTCAGAGAGTAAAAGAGTTATGCTTCACAATCTGTCTGCTGGAAACATTCAGATTTCTACTCTTGTAGTTGAGACTATCTTCTCTTCTTCCTTCCCAGACCGCTCCGATTGCTTCCAGCGCGACTGGCTTCGGAGAGGACGCTGGCAGAACGCTTATGGGCTCGAGGCCCGGTAGCGGTGGCTGACCCTGCTTCGGGTGCCGCATGCTCTTCTCCATCAACATCATCGTCTTCGTTCGCATCTTCACCACCCACAGCATCGGAATCATCCTGTTCGGCAGCATCATCCTCGTCATCCGAATGGCCATCCTCTCCGGCGGCTTCCTCTTCCTCGGATCCAGACTCGGCCTCAGCTTCAGCGTCATCTTCCTCTTCAGCGTCACTGTCGTTCTGTGGTGTGGCTTGGACCTGCGCATCATCGTCCTCGTCCTCTTCCTCGTCCACTTCTCCGTTTACATGAGGCTCGTCGTCTTCTTCCTCATCTTCATCCTCGTCCTCGTCCTCATGATCGATGCCAGTGACAGATTGATCAGCATTTCCGTCATGATGTTCATTGTCTTCATCATCGTCATCGTCTCTCTCTGATCCATCCTCTTCTTCACCATGCTTATCGGCGGACTCTTGAGGGATGAGTGAAGATTCTTGTCCAGCTTCCTCGCCGTCATTGTCAGCGTCTGTATCGCCACTCTTCTGCTCGTGCCCATTGACTTGTGCATTGTGCTGATCGTTGTTACTCAGGCTGTCTTCGGTCTTTTCCTCTGTTTTGGTTGCAGGAGCACTGGTCCCAGCTTGAGTATCCTGCTCCTGCTTTGTAGTAGCAATGGTGTGTTCTTGGCCATTCTCAATTTTCGTGTTGCCATCGAGGTGGAAAGAATCGACTTCCATCGCATCAACAGCCGGCGGCAACTTTTCCTCGCCGTCTTTCGGCAACCCAAGTCTGATGCGTCTGGCTTCTTCCAAAATCTTGATCTCCGTGGCAATCTTCTCGTTGACCTTTCTGGCATCCAACAGAACATTTATTTCGCCTACAAGCTGTTCAAAGACACGACAAACTCGCTGCGTAGGCATGAGTAACCTGGGCGGGATACCCAGCTCGGTCAGGGCGGCTTGGATCTTGGCCGTCTGTGTCTGACTCTTGGCCATCAAGAGACGATTGATCTTCTCGTGTCGGAATTGTACGCCGCTCGTGACTCTTTCTTGGGGATGGGAGACGCCAAAGCGTGCCTCATCTTGCGGTGAGAGAACTCGCACGCTTGGTTGGGATACTGATCCCTTCTTCTGCGGCCCGGATTCTTCGGTCGCTTGAGTGTCGACAGTGTCCCGTCGACTGTACTGGTTGGGATGTCTGGATTTCTCGCTCCGCGCGGATTCCGAGGGCGTGGCGGCTGCAGGAGTTGCTTCTGTGCCATTCGCGGGTGGAGGCCTCTTCAGCCTCTTTTCTTTGGCAAGCAGAGATTGGAGCAGCATGGACAAGCCACCCGAAGTTTGATATACAGCGGTAGATTGCTCCTCATTTCTTCGGAGAGGGGTGACTGGCTCGAGCCGGGAGTAGAGTTCGGACCTCATCTTGATAAGCTCATCTTCATGTTTGGTGATGCGGTGAAGTTCCTCTAGCAGCACTCTCTCCTCGTCAGCTTCGTCCTTGGTACGCTCGAATAGTTTCTCGGCCATGGCTTTTCGCAGGGACTCGGTTCTTGCGTCGAAATTGCGCATCTTCTCCCACAGTTGGAACTCGGCCTGTGTCATGTTACTCGCTGGAATCTGTAACTCGAGCATCTTGGCCGCGATCGTGTAATATCGCTGTTTGAGTGCCTCCATCGACCGAGCCGGATACTTGCGCTGGTGGGCAACTTCATTCCCTGCAGCTTCTCCATTCGGCAGAGACCCCGTTGCGCCAGGGATCTGTTCAGGATCGTAACGGTCGGCAATGACAACCCATCGAAGATCATAATCTCGGCAAAGTTCAATGAGATAATCTGTTTCTTCCTTGGTCCAGTCGTCTGATTTGAAGTAACTCTGATACTGTTCATCCGTGTATGACGCCACCTGCACTTTCACGTCCCATTTGTGCGAAGGGAATTCCTCTTCAAACCGTAGTTCTTGCGTGACTGAGGCCGGCTTCGAATCATCGGTCATTTCAACATCGGTCGAGGCTGCGGTGTTCCCAATAGAAGCGGGTCGAGCGGTCGAGCCTGGTATTGAGCGTTTCCAGTGCCTAAGCTGCAGTCCATCTGTTCGCGCTCCATGCTGAAATGGTCTCTCTTCCCAGTGTCTCGGTTTGAATAGTTTTTGGGATATGGACGGTCTCGACTTGTAGGAGCGTTGTTCGACGAGGGCAATGGGCGGCACCGAATCGCCCATCAGAGCTTGAACTTCTCGTTTGACTCCAGTCATTCGCACTTGAGGCTCGACGTGTCTTTTCTTCTTGGGCGCAGGCTGCCGCGGACCTGCCTGGCCCAAGTTCATGATGTCGCGAATGTCGCTGGTGGACGCCATGACGAGCAACCTTGAGATGGCGCGATAGGTCAGGCCAGATGGTGTAGGGACAGTTGGTCAAGGTCCCAGGCGTTGTCGGCTTACATTCGCCTTACGCGTCGATGAGTTGATGATGAGGGACGGTCAGTCGATATGCAGTGGTTATGTACCAACAAAGGGCAGAATTGTCGACGCCGCTGCAACTGGCGGACCGATGCTTCGCACGTGATCTCTTTAGTCACGTGCTCCGGTCTCTGGTTGTATCAAGCTTGGACACGGGCACCCAAGACACACCCCAACCACCCTCGACGACAAATACACCAGTTGGACTGGCCTTGCCCGATATTGAGCCAGAGCCTTTTCTACATGTATGTCTATAATGCGTGGAAATAAGAAAGCCGCGTGCCAGGCCTCCTTTTGAGGTCACGTGATAACGCACTTGGCACGCTGCGACAAGGCTACGGCCACCTGTACTGCACGGTCGTGTTCCTGTACTCCGCGGCGCCTCGAGTCTTCCCCTGAATTGAACACTAAACTGATGATTGACATGCGATTCTGCGTCTGTGCCATCTAGAAGCCCTTTTTATCCATCATTGGGATTTGACCTCACCGCACCCTTTCCGGCACGAGACCGCGACTGCGACCGCAGCACATCTGTCTCCCTCCCTCCCCAGCGGTCAATTCTAGTCGTCGCGCAGCAAGCCAACCGAGCCAGCAACGAAGTGAAGAGAAGACAAGATGAAGTTCCTCACGACGACGACGCTCGCCGTCGTTTCGTCCCTCATCACCTCCTCGCAAGCCCTCTACTTCTACCTCGACGGCACGACACCCAAATGTTTCTACGAGGACTTGCCCAAGGACACGCTAGTAGTGGGTTAGTACAAGCACTTGCTGCGCGAAAGACAACGTTGTGGCTTTGTTTTACAATGTGGTGGCATTTATTTTCTTCCAGTTCCAATTGACTAACCCTTTGAGACTGCTAGGAACATACAAAGCCGAAGCCTGGAACGGCCAAACCAACTCCTTCCAAGCAACACCCGAGCTACAAATGCAAATCACCGTCGACGAAACCTTCGACAACGACCACCGCGTAGTAACGCAAACAACAACCTCATCCGACGCGCCGACAAAATTCACATTCAGCGCCGCCGACGCCGGATTGCACAGGTTGTGTTTCACGCCCTCGGGCCCCGCGGCCGTCAGTGTGGGCAGCGGTTGGTTTTCCGGCGGTGGCGGGCCCATGGGCGGCGTCAAGTTGACGTTGGACATGGCCATCGGCGAGACCAGCAAGATCGAGAGCGAGGATAAAGGCAAGATCGATACTATCGTGAGTAAAGTAAGGGAGTTGAATCAGCGGTTGGCGGATATCAGGAGGGAACAGATTTTCCAAAGGGTTCGTACTACACCGCAACCACGCCACGATACAGTCTAGCCGCCATGTCATGCGCGGCGGACGAGTGCGCGAACAACTCATACGATGGATGGAACTAATTTTGTCCTAAACAGGAACGAGAAGCCGAATTCCGTGACCAGAGCGAGTCGACCAATGCAAAGATTGTGCGGTGGACTTTGATCCAGCTGGCCGTGTTGGGCGTCACCTGTGCCTGGCAGCTGTCGCATCTGCGGTCGTTCTTCATCAAGCAAAAGTTGACATAGAAAATGGGAACATGAATTGGCCATTCTACACGGCCACTTAACGACCATCGACTTCTCACCGTGAACTTTGATTGCATGTTCGGCCTGTTACTGCGTCCCCCCCAAAAGCCACAATTTGAAGCAATCTACATTATTGTCAAACTGACGTACGACCTGTCAACAAGAAGAGGGACATCGCACGTCCCAAACTATTCAATGTCAGACGGCCAGGCTCTTGGCCGTTCACGTTTTCGTTTCATTTTCATTTTTGGAGATCTCAAACTCGGACCTCTCAGATGCCTACGGCTCCCTCGCTATGCTACGCCAAACCCAAGAATCATGTACAAAAAGTAACGACTAGAAAATGTGCAGTGCAGTGCAGCCCCATAATCAAAACTTGCGCCTTTCTCGCGGTCCTGCAATGTTGGTGCCTGACGACTCCAAACCCCAGCCTCTCCCAGGAGTGCTAGTGCTAGCTGGACCGTGTCTCCTACCAGTAGAAGCGAAACCACCGCCGTCATTCAACGACAGTCCGTCGATCCCCATCATACCTCGGCTGGAATTGGATCTCGGAGTAGGAGTGTGAGATTTGCTCGGCGACGACTCATAAAGCTCATAGCGCCCCCTAGACAGATTCTGAGGCGCCGAGTCCCATACCGTAGATGTGGTGGCGATGGACGATTGACTCTCAACTGATTCCGAGGAGTCGCGACGCCACGAATCCGGACGCGGTGTAGTTGGTTCGACAGGAAGATCCCTACCCGTACCTCTCTCGACGACCTCATCGACTGGCGGGGCCACTGGCCTCTGATGAAGGGTATCATGCGCCTGCGTGCTCGCACTTGGTCGAGTCTGATGATGTTGCAGGAATTCTTGCGGCAGTAACAAGCCCACCGCCGCAATTCCCACTTTGTTCCAAAGGTCTCGATAAAGCTCTCCAAACCTCTCGCGTAGCATGGCCAGTCCGATCAACACCATAGCTTCGCAGGTGAACAACACGATCCACGACAATTGACCTCCTTGCGCTCTGCTGGTAGACGACAGAAGCAGCAGCAATAGGTGGCCAGTAGGGACGGCGATGCTGAACAATACAATATAGTATCCTAGCTCTGATGATGTATCTCGCCAGACTGTGACATCGAAAATCCACCATGCAACTGCGCCCACCAATCCACCAAATGCAGCGGCACTGAAACGCGCGGACGGGGACGAAGACTCCTTGGCAGTAGATAATGACGATCGCCTCTTTTGGTCCATTTGAGAGAACCGAGCAGAGGGGGAATTAGGAGTACCGACGTTAGGCGCTTGAGATGGGCCGACAGGGTCCAAGGACCGATCTTGCAGTGAAAAGACGGTCCCGAAAATACTTTCCAGACCCGTGTCGGCATCTTTGTCATAACCGAAAAACCTTGGTTGTGCGATAGCGTCACTGGCTGTTTTGGTCGGACGGGACGGAAGAGCCGGGTTCGAGGGTCGATCGAAGAATCCAGGAGGTAGACCAATGGCCTCCTTCTGCACTGAAGTGGTCGTCTGTGCAGCAGATTTGTGCAGTCCCCTTGCATTCAGTGCAGGTAGAGCTCCATGGAATGGTGACGGTTTGGTGGATCGATACCGCACCTCCTTTAATTCAGGCTGGAACACGGGCTGGGAGGGCATCCAGTCCATTGAGTCAGCGGCTTCATCCGGCGGCGTTGGAGGTCTCCATGCTCTGTATGTTGGCCCCTGTGAGGCTGACAGGCTCCCTACGCTGAATGGTCCTTGTTGATCCTGCTGTGTATCTGCCGTAGAGGGTTCGGAAGGCGGAACAAACTGATCGCGGGAAAGCAAAGGAGCAGGATCCTGATGCCAGTTGACAGGTGGCTTGGTTTTGACTTGGATTATACCGAAAACAGACCAGCCTGCGACGAGCGTGATGGCCACCGCGAAACAGGCATGCAGCATGGACCGCAACTTGGGATTCAGAGACATATCTGTTGTGAGTATCCAGGCAATTATCCTCAACCCCAGCAGAGTGTATTGCACGAGATAGTATTTCGCCAAACCGGACAGTTTTCCATCGTGACCGCCCATAGACAACCATAGCTGCCACTTGGGATTCCACCAACTGGTCGCGAATCCGAGGTCGATCGATATGCCTATCAGCAGCGACTCCGAAATGTCGAGACATTGAGGAACGAATGGGCGACGGTGTCTGAAGCAGTCCGCCAGCCCCCTGATCTGGTACTTGACTAGTTGTCTACTAGTCACTTGCGACCCGTACAGGTGCCATACCAGTTGCATAGCAAGACTTGTGAAGTATCCCACTCCTGCAGCAGTGATCAAGAGACTCCTCCATCCCAGCCGGCTGGAGATCCTCCTCTGGCGCGATTTCTCCAGCACCCGTCGAAGATGATCACTTCTGGCATTGTATGTGGCTTGATGTAACTGCGCCCGAACCTTGGGTTCGCAGCGAGCGCAGCATTGCGGATACCGTCGCTCTAGGCCTTTCTTGTACTCGGGAAGTTGGGCCTCGAACTTTTCATAGTCGGGGTGGTCTGGGTCTGGCAGGAACTGAGATAGGTTGTAGGTGTACAATTGTTGGTTCTTGATACATGTCGGACAGAAGATGGAGTCGTGGGAGGAGAAGTCGTCGGCGAGAGGATCTGAATGGACGGGTTGAGCAAAGCGCTGCGCAGGTGCTGCTTCTTCGACAGGCACATCTGCTATCTCGCCATTCTACCGAAGTGAAAGTCAGCGACGTTGGGTTGCAATCGTATCTTGTGCTGTGCTACGTACCTCATCGAAGAAGTTGACGGCGAGGCAGTTATCGCATGTGAATCTGCTATTCGGTTTCTTGACATGTTTTGATCGCCGACCGCAGTAGTGACAATCGAGACGCTGGCGCAACTGGACAGGCATGATGTTGCATAGTTCGCGACTAGACACAAGAATCAAGACTTGCTTGCAGTGTTGAAAACATTATATCCAGACCACAAAGTGTTTCGCGGCAGAAGACATGGCTGCCTTGAATTCATCGTCACTTAAGTTCGACTTGCAATTCACAGAATCAACGATATTCCACAATCGGTTTAGCGTCGCCTCCGGAGATAAAGCCCATCGAGATAATCTCCGTCAAAAAGGACATCAACCTACACAAGACAACATTGACAACTTATTACTGCTTCAGCTTCAGCTTCAGTTTCAAAGTACATGTACTACGGATCTACAGAGGCGGTAGATGGCACAATGTCTACGATCTAGTCACTACTGTCACAATTGCCGGCGCACGACTACTACAACAAATATGTCTCGGAAATCAAGTGGCCAGGAAACAATGGGGCCGTAGCCTCGTCCAACAAGCATTCACCCTCCGCCTTCGTGGCCTTCATACCCTGGCATTCTTTTCCATCCTTGACCCTTCCTCATAGACGGCATCGGCAAAAATGGACAAGCAGCATTATCATGTCGAGGACCATTCACAGACCATTTTCCCGACCCTATCCCGGCATTCAACTTCCATTCTGGACTTCGTCAGCCACCACCGTCTCCTCCTCACCGTGATCTTCAGCATCGCTACAATTCTCCTGACGGCATGTGTCATTCGACTCAACCACATCCTCACTCGCAGACCTCCTCCCCCGCCACGGTTGAACAGACCCTCACGTTCGGCCTCACATCACTCCTCCTCGAATTCACCAACTCTATCAACCCCAACCCACCTCCTAATCGTCCTCGGCTCAGGCGGCCACACAGCCGAAATGCTCAACATGCTCTCTCAGGTCCCGAATCTCGCAACCGACTTCACCCACCGCACATACGTCATCAGCTCCGGCGACGACTTTTCAGCGTCAAAGGCACACGAATTCGAAAAGTCGCTTGAACCAGGCCCCAAGGACAGCTCCGCTGCCTCTCCCAGACTTGATTCCGCTGGCCGTGACTCTGACCATCGCATCAAACAAGAAGAATCTACAAGTCAATACAACATCGTGACCGTCCACCGCGCCCGAAAAGTCCATCAAAGTATTCTCACCACCCCGGTATCGAGTCTTTTGTGCTTATGGGACTGTATTGGAGTGTTGAGAGGGAAGAAGACCACGAGACGTCAGGGTCACAGCCGGCTCTACCCAGATCTAATCCTCACAAACGGCCCCGGGACAGGAGTCATAGTCATACTAGCCTCGATAATTCTCCGTTTCTTCGGCCTCTGCCCCAGCAGACTCGGACCAAACGGCAGATGGGACCGGCACGAGATGCGCACCATCTTCATCGAAAGCTGGGCCCGCGTCAAGACCCTCAGTCTGAGCGGTCGCCTCTTGCATCCTGTTGTCGATCGCTTCATTGTGCAGTGGCCGCAGTTGGCGGAACAACAAGGCTCGCGGTCACGGTCACGAGTCGAATATATTGGGCCGCTGGTGACTTGATATGATGTGATTGATGTTCTATCAACAGTCCCTAATCCCATCGGTGAGAGTAGTAGTATAACCAGAACCAAAAAAAGACTACTGCGACACTAAACTCGGCACCATACATATGGACTCAATTATTGATTTCATAGATGACTGGGAGAGCATGGTCCGGATGTAGAGTATACCCAACCCAACATTTGGTTCACTGCCATACGAGGTTGTAATCCGACTGGAGCTGGTGTACAGATGATTCGCGAGCATGGATGTAAAAAAAAGCAGTAATGTTGTAGATGGCTACCACCAACTGAGGTCCAGTTAGAAGTGTTCACTGGGTATGATGCAAATGTACAATATACGGTGGTTTTATGTATATGGTACACAGAATGGAGTTCAATTTTTGCTTGCCGAACAATGGCGCCAAACCCCCATTTTATGTGTTCACTGGCAGCTGCATTGTAAACGGCAGACCCCGGTCCAGCATACAATAAAACACCCATGTGGAAACCGAAGAGCAAGACCACAACTTTTTAAGCAGCCAAAGCCTTCTGCCTCCGCTGCGGTTTCGACTGTTTCGTCTCAAGAATGATCTTCAAGGTCTCCTCAGGCAAGCCCTGCTTCTTCACCTCTTCGGCCCTCTTCTGTGCCAACTCCAATTTATATTCTGCCAACTGCTCCAGCGGCGATTGCAGCTTGCGCTGCTCGTACCAAGCGGCCCGAGCATCCTCCAGGACCTTGAGACGCACATACTCGTCGTCATGCCATTCGCGGTCGCGGGCGTATTTGTCGTCGCGCAATTCATCCAAAATCCCCGACCGCGGCAGCGGCGGGTCGTACAGCGAGGGGATAAAAGATTGAGACTCGACGTCGAACCGGCTCGTGTCTGCCTCGAAAGCCTGGTACGTCGGGATATCGACTTGGGGCCAGGGAACCTCAATGTCCTCGCCGGCAACATACCGCGTATGTCGGGGCAGAGGGGAATACGCCTCGCGTTGGAAATACGGTGCACCGCCTCGGAGCAGCTTGACGATGACATCACGGTCTCGACCTGTTCGTTCGTCTCGCAATCGGTGCACCAGGCGGACCGAGTCGATAGGGATAGGGAGTTCGAGGGCTTGAAAGGCGATTCGTTCCCGTTGAGGCACGCCTTCGGGGATTTGTACGTCGGCCTAGAAGATTTCGTTAGACACCTGGGTTCTGCGCGAGAAACGAGACATTTTCATTAGCCACGTACCAAATTCACTCCTTCAACAGTCAACTCCTTCGCTTCCGCATTGATACTCTTGACACGACCAATCTTGCCAACAATTTCCTCTTTCCCCTGAACCACGCAGACACGATCGCCTTCAACAATGTTTCCCTCGTTACCAAACCCCTCCCACTCCTTATGCTCGCCTTCCAGGCCCTCGGAACCTACTGGATCCCAGCCGTTCCCCTTGGGCCCGGCGCGAGTGCGTTCGGGAAACTTGGGACCCTGGGCAATCAACCCGCTGACCGTGCCAAAGAGCTCTTGTTGTTTTCCAGCATCCCGTTTCGGTGCCAATGGTCCCGCGACCCAGTCCTCCCTTCGATGTCTCCGTTCGTCTTTGATGTATCCCCGTTGTGCTCGATCGATGGCGATGCGTCGTGAGTCGTGTTGGCTCCATTCCTCCTTTAACTTTTTGAGGTTTTTCCTTCGCTCCGCCTTTAGCGCTTGGTTGCGCGCGAGGAGGTTGATTCGTAGGACTTTCTGCATCGTGAAAACGGCAAAAAGGTCTTTGGTCAGGGCAGGAAGAGGATCACCGGCGTGGTGGTCATGTAAAGTTTGTGGTCGCAGCACACTTCCCCTACGAGTTCAACAGACCTGAAGCGAGGAATAAGCTCTGCCACTTTACCACAGGAAGCAGGATGGTAACAAGGCTTAAGCACTTAAGACTGCAAGGAAAAAATACATCAACTAGCAGTAAACTGTCGACTCCATGGGCGCCTCAAGATGGTGTCGTCTTGTTGGAGTCCAACTTCAAGTTCAACTGCAGTGAACTTCGCATTGGGCGGAAGATCGCTTGGCACGGAAACTGGAAAAGCTCCGCTCTCAGGCTCCGGGCTGCCAATGACTAAGCCACAATCCGGCCTCAGTCAGTATAGGAGCAGTATCTAAGGTGACGACTTTTATTCATGCGAAGAGGAATACAAAGTTGAATAGAGAGAATAAGAGCATCAGAAAAGGTCTAACTTTGATTCATGATGTTGATTTTGTTATATGCTGTATCGACGTTTGAGCGAGTGTCGTCATCCTAGCAAATGGGAACCAGCTTCAACAGGAAAACGACAGACCTACATTGTAGCTATAAACAGTTTGCGTTGAGGTGGCTATTCCAGTCTCCCAGTGCCAGCTAAGAGCTCATCCTGTGATAACGCCCGGGATTGAGGAAGGTAGCAGGTTCTCATTCCTCAAGCCTTCTTTGATGTTACAGCCGTTTTTCGATGAGAGATGCACCGTGCGTTTCAATGCTCGATAAAACCTCCCTGATCTTCTTTTTGCTTTCCTCGCATTAATGCAGCTGAAACATGCCTTCCCACCTTAGTCGTCCTGGCCCTGTGACTCTCGACAGCATCCAACCCAATAACGCAAGAAAATGGCGAGCCGACCTTTGCAGCACGCCGCAGACGCCGTTGCTTTGTTTTAACCAGGGTATCTATGAACCAAGCAAAACTCGAATGAAAAAAAAAGAGGTTGTGGTGTGAAACTCGTGAAGAAAAGTCATGAAACAAACTGTGGCGGCAATCGTGTTCATAGGCCTCATGTGAAGCATCAAAACTTCTTTCGAGAGGAGCCCATCATCATTGCATCTTCATCGGAGTCATCCTCTTCATGATGATCATAATCATAGCCGTTGTTCTGCCAATCTTCAAGAGCAGGGCCAGTGGCAACCTGTGTAGATCTGCCATGTTTGGTGACCGTGTCTGCGGTTCGCATGAAATCGGGTTCGAGGGTCTTGTCTGGAGCAGGCACGTTTGCCGGAATTCTACCACGGTCTGCACCCAGAAACCCTTCACCAGGCGGCGAGGACGCACTGGAATCGGCAGAGAAACAGGGGTTGGACATGCTATACGAGACACTGCTAGTGCCATACCCGTCTTCGGAAGATGCAATAGTACTTGCCGAGGGCGCTGAGAACCCTAGGGAGAACGCCGGCGGTTCAGTCGGGCCTTGATCGCGCTGCTTGTCCAGAAATGCAAGATCATCCGGAGATGGAGGGCATGCGTTGGCTGCGGCCCGACTTTGAGGTCTCGAGGCAGCCTCCGCTTGCGCCTCAGCTTGCAGATGCGCTTCCCGAATAAGTCGACGTTGATTGAGATCCCGTGCTTGCTCGAAAGCTTCGTCGGATGAAGTGGGTGCTTGGAAAGGCACTCGTGGATACGAAGCGGTCTGCACCTGAGGAAGTGGGGGTGCTGTGTTGTCATCAACCGATGAAGCGGGTGTTTTCAAGGCTTCTGGTAGCTCAATGGCGCCTGCAGCCGAAGCAGTGCTCACGGCAATACTAGGTTTGGTGTGAGCATCACCGTCGGACGACTGACGACTGGAGGTTGGGGACTGTTCATATGCGCGAGATCGACGGTCTCGGCTGCCCAGTCTAGCCAACGTTTTCGCAGTACCCTCCCATAGGCCATCCACTCTCGCTTTGAGACCTCTTTCTTGGGAAATGGGTCGGGCGATCGACGGCGATGATTCTGAGACTTGTAGAGGTGGCCTTTGCACCTGCGAGGCTCGAATTGTCTTGACTGACTCGGTAGTCGAGAGAGTCGAAATCGCTCTGGCAGGCGCCCGGGGCCGGCCTTCGCGCTCCACCATCGGGCTACAGCTCGTTGATGCAGCTTTGGGTGCCGAAAGGGGGTTTGCAAAATAGGTTTCATGCGGAGATGTGTCAGGACTCGCGGTTTGGCTTTGTGCCAGAGGATGCTCAGTATTCTCTCGGGACGTCTTCAGCGCAGTGAGAAATTCATCGCCACGAAGGCTGCTCTGTCGAGCTTCTCGCTTCTTCTCGCGCTCATTCTTTCCCGCCGTACTCGCTATCGACGGTGCCACCGACGCGACCGAATCACTGGAATGGCTGGCTGCAGATGTTGCAGCGCTTGGAGCACGTTTGCGTGTGTTGCTTCTGCCCAGCAGACTTCCTGCAAGTCTTCCTGCCGTGTTCAAGGCTCGTTCGATGATGTTCCTCTTGCCAACAGCATGGGACAGTTCTTTTTCATCAACTTCCAGAATCTTTTTCTTGCTTTCCTTCTCCAGCTCGGGAGGACCTTTGATCCACTGTGAGGGGTCGCGGATGCCTTCAACCACCCACGGATGTTCTTTCGCTTGCTCGATGGTCATGCGCTTGACAGGATCTTTGATCAGGAGTTTTCGGATCAGGTCGCGGAGGGCTTCCGGTACTGGCTCAAACTTGAGTTCGTAATCAAGCCGCTTGTTGCTATTGATCGAAGCTGGAACGTGGTAAGAAGGTTTGTCCCGCGACGTGTCCACAGGGACGAGTCGAGTTTTCGGCAAGAAAACGTCCGCCTTGCAGACCGCCTCATGAAGTCCCATTTCTTCTGTCGCATAGAATGGTAGGCGAGCATACACCATGCAATACAGAGTGATGCCCAAGGCCCACAGATCGAGGGCACCGGTGATTTTCGGACCATTCTTCTCCTCGAACATGGATGGGTCCTCGTAGCATAATTCAGGCGCCCAGAATGCCGGCGTTCCAACAGACCGTGCAAGCTCTTTCTCATCGTCCAACGCCGACACATCGTTTTCCGTGAGCTTGTTCTCGGGATCCTCGTCGGTCGTTGGACGTCCAAGGTAGGAGACACCAAAGTCCGAGATTTTTACTGTGCCATCTTTGGACACAAGTAGGTTGGCTGGTTTGATGTCACGGTGGATGATACCGATGAAATGCAAGAACTGAAGGCCCGAGAGCGTATCTCGGAATGCCCGTCGAGCTTCTTCGAGTGTCATGGCAGGGACGTAGGAATGCTCGTCATCGTGCTCGTCAAAGTTCCACTCCGACGACATGTGCGAGACAGCGCTTGCTGCGATACTGAATTTCCGATTGGGCTGGTATGCATCCGGAGCATAGGCACCATACATACTTCCAGCCAAGGCCATCTCAGCATAGTCTTCATGAGAATGGGTCCGGCTAGGGTTGTTTGACTCATAGAAATGTCGAGATCCGGATCGAGAGATGTCCGAGAAGGCCTCCTCATCATCCCACTCCTCTCCTCCATGTTCAAGACTCCAGTTGGGGATACGGTTCGAGGCAGCAATTCGCGCCCTTTCTGCTTGCTCGTGCCGCCGTCTGGCTTGACTGACATGGAACAGGTCCCGTTCTGATGGTTCGAGGGGCACTTCGATGCCCAAACGTTCCTGCGTAAACCTATTGTTGTTGACCGCTAAAATCTCACGGACACCTCGCTTGCGCCATTTGATTTCACCGCGCTCCACATATTCAAGGATCAAGTACACCTTGTTCTTGCTAGGGTCGTCGATCACCTCCAAGAGACTGACGACGTTGGGATGTCTTGCTTTCTTCAGGATAGCCACTTCTCGCTTGGTTCGATCCTCGGGCGTGCCCAGCCGACCGAGACGTCTCTTCACAGAGTATCTCGGGACGATTTTGACGGCGACCAGAGTTCCTTTTTCAATATCTCGTCCAAGCTTCACTTTGCCATGCTCGCCGCGGCCTAATTCTTGGACAATCTCATAGTTGTTGATGAATTTGTTCCCCGAAAATGTATCATGCTCGATTTCGGCAGTATGTGTTTCTTTCGGTGCCTGAAGATGATGGAGTTGAGGGCCGAGCTCGGTAAGAGAGGATGACGAAGGTACTCGGGCTTCAGGGTTGAACAAGCCAGGACTGGAAATGGGTGTATTGTCTGCAGTTTTCGTGCCGGGGCAGCCAGATTGCCGGTCTCTAACCGGCCTCGCCCAGGTCGACATTTCGTTGTAGAGGAGATTTTGAGCAGGATGTGAGCTTCGTGTTCGGAGAGGAGGAGCAGGTCTAGGGGCAGCAAACTGGCCCTGTAAGGCTGCAAAGGACTGGTCAGGGTAGGTTGGATAATCGTTGTTGACGGATCGTTTCGAGGTTGAGAGAGAGTGAGAAAGGGACTTTGAGTGGGAAGTACGCCGCCGTCGAGCAAAACTATGTGTTGACTTCGTGGAGAGCGCGCGATGAACCATAGCCATCGCAGAGGTAGTTCCTGGCTCGGCCTCGCGTTCGGCCAAGGATTTTAATGATTGAGAGGATGTCTGCGTAGAGGATGGGAGCGATTGCTGTTGTCTGGCTGACAAGCCGCCCTGCCGAATGTTGGCCTCCGGGGGATCCAAAGCATTCTCTTCAACAACATCTGCAGGATCATGAGCAGACAAGGCAGTTGGCGTGTTGCGCTGAGTGCCACTGGAATCCCCGCCAGAACTCTGAGGGCCATTGCTCATCTCCTGCTCTTGTAGGCTAGCTTCATTGTCGCGCGACTGGAACCGACTTAAACCACCTATGTTCCTGGCAGACTCCAAGTTGTGCCTTGCTTGCCGCAAATCTGGTGCCCATGTTATACTAGGACTTATGTTGTCCGACATCGCTTGAAGCCCGATCCCGACAACCCTATCCTCAAGCACCAGCAATGGGCATAGACTCCTCTAGTCAACGACACTATTATGCTTGGTTGTTGCCTCCATTCAGTAGCCGCGTCTTCGATAGTGGTTCAGGTGTGCCATCTGACTATCCCCACAATATTAAACCACCGCACCCTCCTAGCCTGTAGTGACACGGCTAGTATTTTCGCGAAACTGAAGAGATGGGGAAAGGACAAGGGACTCCGCGAGAGCCAGGAACAATAAGCAGATTTGAGGACGTGAGAAAGGACAATATAACCACCGCCGGAAATCTCAAAGTCGCGCGACACTTGAGATTGGTGAAAAGAGGTTTGGGATCAGAAATCGACAGCTTTCGTACCACAACTGTGACAAACCAAATGGTGGACAATGTTAGGTGGAAGCGTCTTAGATGTCTTTAGAAGAAAAGAAATAGAGAGCAAATACACATTAAACAAAAAGGAACCGGAAACAGTGTTGAGTCGTGCGGACGCAAGACATGTAATCTGGGACTTTGAAATGGGAAAGACGACAGACAACACTGGGAGGGAGCGCAGGAAACGGAAGCCTCTCAGTGATCAGATCGATAGATGACGGAGGGGAAGCCGGAAGACTAGTGGCAAGTGGTGCCTCAGGACGCCAAGGGAGTGTAAAGGATGCCCCAGCACCACCTGAAGCCCAGCGGCGAAAATGAGCCGAGTAGGGACTTGATGAGCAGGGTGGGTAAAGAGGTGCGTGAGAGACCCAGCCAGCGCCGCCTAATGCCCCTCTACAGACTACAAGGTGCCCCTAACAACAGAGCGATTCGCGCCGCCTAAACCAGCCCTGAACCAGCCGAACCGACCGACTACAGTTGGGCGGCATTTCCCAACGTCTGTCCATCTCTCACATCAAACTGTCCATCATGGGCCGTGCAGTTCAAGTTGCAGGCATCCACTGGCAACAAGCGAAGGCTGCCAAGTAGTGTCGCTGCTCCGCCTGCGCACTGGCAGCGTGAGCCATGCTTTTTTTTATGCATCCTGCTCTGTACCTACATCGATTGTCCTCCTTGTGTGCAATAGAGGGGCCCCATCTCATTCACCATCCACCACCATACCCACCTTCATTTTTGCTCCCTGTTGACTACATGACTGCTGATGCTTGCTCTTGACCAGTTAGCAGCTGAGAAACTCTCTCTCAACCTTGCATCCCTGCCTGCTTAAGTGTTGAAGCGACGACAGCCTTCGCTGTAGTCCCTGGACACCGGGGCCCCTTGAAATAAAACGATTGACCATGGGCTAGGGTGGCCGTCCTTGAGTATTCTCCAGCCCTGAAAGGCCGCTGTCATCCTCGTTTACGGCTGCGGTGACCCGGACGGCATCGAAGGCCTGGATCGATGATCTGATCTCGCCTCGCTGCACTCGCGATGTACCTCCAAGGAGTAAGATGTTGTCTCTCGAATATGGCAGATGGGCTAGAAAATATTCGAGGTGACGCAGCATTGTCGACTTCAGTTTCAAGTCCTCCTGCAGGTGCAACTGCAAACTGCAGCGAGTCTGTGCAGAACTAAGGGATGAATACAAGCAAATCGGGCTCTTTGCTCCTGCTTGTCAGGCCACGAAGCTTCAAACACCCATGCTCGCCACTCCTGTTGCGGACCAATTCTGTGCTTGTTGGTAAAAGTGAGGATTTGTCCGCCGCTATGTTGAGGTGTTGGTCTGTTCTGTGGAAAAGGTACTGTACAGGCGTAACAGTATGTAGCTTGGTCGTCGCCATCATCTCCCAACATTCTGTTATGTTCACTGCGTAGAAGGATTCTCTCCTGAGCCTGCTGGCTAGGCCCGTTCGATATGCATCCGGGTTAGAGAAACTACTCTTCGGCCTTCTCGTATCCAAGTTTCACAAACATGGCGAGACGGGCCAAACGGTCGCCCTGCGAGCCTGAGCACACGCCCGGGGCAATTGAACCTGCTCAACTCTCACCAGCGCAAACATTCAATCAGAAGATGCACTACTAGTTCTTGCATGCATGTATACCATACCCGCTAGCACGAAGGCAAAGAGAAGAAGATGTCATACCACAGCCGTTACACGGTCTCCAGCATGGCCCGAAGAAACAAAACAGACTACTAGTATGGCGCAGACTCCCACTGCCGGCAGTACGAGCGGCGTAAGAGGCCAACGGGACCTACAGTACCTAACTATCCTGCTACTGCTATCCACAGCTGCAGAGTTGTCCGACTACAACAAGTATTGTCGAACATGGACACGTGTGCAACGTACTGCAACTCGAATCCGAACTTGACTCGAATATACAACTACAGCAGAAACGCGGACCAGAAGCAGGAAATGCATCGCAGCAGATGCGGCACTTGATCAGTCTGTTGGGAATTTTCACATGCTTCGACAACAAAATTTGCGTCCAGGATCAGCGTGGTCGCCACTCTTGCCCGCCAATCCTTGCATGGATTGAATTTGAAGCGGGATCATGGCTCCATAGATGGCACATCCATGCAGTGCCTGCGAAAGGCTACAGAACTGCACGCTGTATTCCAACACAACCCCTAACAAAAGCTGTACAATTCATTGTTATTCATTCGGGACACTACTGTCTGGGTCAGAGCTTGCATCCGCCGATCTGTCGCAAGGGCGCCTCTGCCACACTACAACGTATTATGATGAAACACCACCAGCAGTGTACAGCAAAGTGTGGAGACAAGTCTTTCCATCATGCGGGCTCTGGCTTCGGTTGCCTCTGCTCAGCCCGGGGTGATTGGTGCAGGCGTGTGCTATCAATAAATGCTGTCACTGAAGTTGGGCCATGAGATTGTACTGACAGCAAATGCATACTAACCGAGCACCACGCAGTCCACTTTTTACGGGTCTCAAGTCCATTTCTATCTCAGAAACGGTGTGCGGGCCGTCTCCGAATCGGGGCATTTTAGTTACCTACGTTGTACACAGTCCTTCACGACCGGGCTGAAACTAAGCACCATGATTTTTGAGAACAAATTCGAATAAGAACAGTGCGTAATTCGTCCTTCCGAGTGGTAGCGCCGTTGAGATCTGAGCACTCAGTGTCTTCCAACCTTGAGCTGAAGAACTGTGTGCAGGCGGTTCTCATCCTCAACTTTCGAGTCGGAACAGGAACCAACCTGCCAGAAGAGGTGGGATTGCTTGCACCGCTTGAAAACCGCCTGGCCTGCAGCTGGTTTAAAAAGAATGCTGATGCACTGGCAGGGTAGCCAGGCTCTGGTGCCGGGCTACCCAAGTGACGAGAGAACGCTAACTCCTAGGCTACTGCCAGTGTAGCATGGTCTCGCGCGACCCGTCTCGATGCTGGAGAACCCCTTCATGCATGCAAGCCCCTCCCTAGACCACTGCATGATAGAGACGCTGCTGTTGGATCATGATTGGCAACAACCGCAGCGAGACATCTAGTACCTGGAACCGTGCATTCGAAAGAGTTCCGAAGAACTTTGAAGTCGCTGTATCAGGTCGATTTCTCCGGAAACTTCGCACAGCTGACAATAGTCTTGCTGCGTCAGGAACATTTCTCCGGGAACTGAAGCCTCGTGATGGTCAAGTGGGAACCTGAGAATCAGATGAACCAGAGGGGCACACAGCAGCAACTTCCAAAACATGGCAAGATCGGCAATAAGGATCAGGCCGGAGAGCTTCGACGTTCCCCTTGTTCGACTGGCGCACGGCTAAGCAGTAGTAGGCGCTGAACCGCGAGGCCAAAGCCCAACACGTTGCCCCCAACGGTTAGCACAGCTAAAGGCTCAGCCTGACAGCGATCCAAACTCTTTCAAGGCTAGTTCCCATGCCATCCGCAAACCTGGGGGTTTGGGCAAGCCAACCTTCGTTCGACCAAACAGCTTAACGTTCTCTGGTGGTGGAATTCTGGCCACGCCTCTGCCAGCCACTGCGGAGATGACGGCCGTCGTCCCATGCATGACATTCCCGGCATTATTTGGACTTGACTACCTCTACCCGCATGCGATGTACTGCTGCGTTGAGCGTACACTGGATTCCTCCCGTGGCTGTACCCGGCTGCTGGTATAGAGAGGAAACTTTCTTCCAAAATCGTTGCAACCGCGATCCTGCTGCTGCTGTTATTGTTGTTGTTGCTGACGGTAAGCCTCCCTCCTTCTCCGCTAACTTGGCGACCGAGACTAGTAGTACGGGGTGGCCCGAATATAATGGTGTGGGAGTGGAACAAGCATCTGGTCGTGCTGAGGCAGCCACACTGGAACGGGACGAGCTGACATGATTGAACCTGTTTCGGCCTGCTGCATATCATCTGAACAAGCACAAACAGGTCATGATTCACGACCGCCACCAACCTCAAGTTGAAGGTGTTGACTACCTGGTGCCCTCCTTGAAACATTCAGATGACACTTGCTTTTTCCATGGGAGTTTTACATTACTATTATCCTTCGGGGATCGTCGAGGCCTGGGTTATTCCAGCGTTCGGCCTCTTGGTGACAGCAGGTTGAGAGGCGTAACACCCACCAGAGCTTCCGGGCGGGTTTTTTTCAGCTACGGTCGTGTCTAGACATTGCTCTCATTGTTTTCATGCAATCAGAGCTCGCAGAAGACGGCACGAGGTGCGAGCTGTGCAAAAGAAGCAAAGGTAGGCCTACAGCTGTACTGGACCAGCCGCACCAAAAAAACCCAGCGCTTTCGTGAACGATGACAATATGTACATGCGTGTCGTGGCGGTGGTGGTAGTGGTGGTGGCAACAGTCCTGCTGATATAAGTGCCCTCAGCTTTTCCCTGTCGAGACCCGGGGATCCCTGATCAAATAGTATCCACGCCACCTCCCGGTTGGTATTGACAACTCTAGAGCGAGCCTCACCCAGCCTTGCCATCACTCCACTTTTTTTCGAATAACTCCTTCGACAAAATTGATCATCGACCCGGCCCCCGCGAAGGACATCCCTAGTTCTTGTGACATCGTCATTTTACCATGTTGGTAGAACAGGCCCAGGGGCAGCAGACAGGACACAAGCGAAGCCATCCAATACTAGTAGTAGGTAGCATACGTCGAGTTCCCATTCAAGACATCGACAAAGTGGCGTGCGATGATCCGATCCGTTTGCTCACTGTATATATCACACGTTAGAATGACATGTCATACTGAATGCGTGCAGGAACTCCGACAGCTTTCATAGCTGAGAACCGCACCGCACCGCGAGCAATAACAATCAAATCAAATCAGTCCGAGTCTGGCTTGCTTACCTAGGATGCAACTCATCAAACCACAAGAACGCATCTGGATTCGTTCCATTCTCCCTTTTCACACAAACCGTCTGATTAACATTACAATGATTCTCATACCCCCAAACACTCTCACTTCCGGGTCCAACGCCCGTGCCATTGAGGTAAGTCGTAGGATTATTGTAGATATCCAGTATCAAACCGTGGACATCAAACAATGCAAACTCGGCCCCAGGATACCTGTTTTTAGCAATATCAAAGGGCGTCTGATACCGAAACACAGTGTTGACAGTCGAAGTGTACTCATGCATAGTCTCTGCGATCTGCGTTAAATTGCTCGGTTTGTCCGGCCAGTACTGGTTGTCGCCGACGCCGTGAAGTGTCTCGTTCGCATATAGTGGCGCGAGTTCTAGGGGCGCAGTGTTCATCAGCACGAATCGCCGTCCGCCGCTGGCGTATAGATTGTCAAAGACCTCGTAGATGCACGATGTATAGTCGCTGAGGACTTTGCCAGGAATTTGGGAATCTGTTAGAAATGCCCAGACTCCCAGGTCGTTGGTGCCGATCCATAGGGCATATACGGCTGATGAGGCTGTGAGCGAGGGTGTGAAATAGGGTTCGGGGGGTGTGCTGTTGAATCGTGTGGCACTGAGGTCGGCGCGGAAGGCGGGGATTTCGTAGTCGAGAACGGATGGGAAGGGGGCGTTGATTGTTGAGAACCAGCTTTGAACACTGGATGTTAGTTTTAAAGGGATGGAGAATGATTGCAGTCAAGATACCCAAGAGCATAGGGTTAATGGGTGGAACGGAACTATGGTGTGTTGTTCGTACCGTGGCGTAATTTCATTCGAACACGCCGCTCCAGACACGGCATAGTTGTACAGCGTCATCTGGGGCGTCCATGCGTCGTTGTTGTCAGTGCTGCCCGTATACTGCACCACGTACCGTGGCCACGTCCGTCCTCCGCCTGCGGTGGAATTGCTCTCAGGCAACAATGTCCCGGCTGGTGGGGCGGAGCCGTTGTGGTTGATGAACCATCCGAGTCGCGATTCGTCCGTGTAGCTGTCGCCGAAGGTGATGAGGGAATCGAAGTTGGATGCTGACCACGGCGTGCCACTGGGAGAGCTGTGGTCGCGGTTCGAGGAGGAGGAGGAGGAGGAGGAGGAAGAGTGTCGAGGCACAACGAAACCTGCCACTGAGACAGAAGAGATCAAGTGGGCTAGATATATTGCTGTAGCCAGCGATGCTGTTGGGGTCTTCATCTTGATGTGCTGGTCTGCTCGATCGATGGACACCGGTGCCCGTATACAGATCAATTCCCTAGAGAGACAGTAACAACAACAATTCTTTTGATCAAGGTGATCACTGATCCGATATAGGGGATAAGGTCCTGCAATTCTTTTCTGCCAGATCCACGACCTACCTTCATATGTATATGCCAGACAGGTATTCGCAAGTCTTGCCCCCTCATCCGGGAGTTTCGCGAGTGGTCATGATTGACTTCATGGACCGAGGGGAGCAGACTCTCGCCTAATGCAGGCAACATGGATACAATACCTGTGCTCTCCACTGGCCAGGGTATGAGCGAAGAGGACGGCCAATGGTCGATTTCAAGTCAGGACAAAAGGCCGAACCAAACGGCCGCGTGGAGGAGAAGAACAGCCGAAGACTTGAGCAAGGGAATTCCTGGCATCGGCAACTCGAACTCAACTAACGGAGCCAGCGTCAAGGTGTTGATGCCTCGACGGTTGCGGAAGGTCGACGTTCAATAATGACAAGCATAAGTTGTCGACCAGAGAAGGAATTTAGGCTGAAAGCGTCGAAGTCTGTCTCCCCGCAATTCGAGTCTCAATCCCCGATTCTCATTCTCTGATCAGGGCTGTTTACATACAGTAGGTACACCTAGCAAGCATCACAAGTTTGCATCCTCGATTGTCCCTGCTGCGGCAACCATGGTCAATGACGATAGTAGCTGTACTATCCTGGTAACCTCAATGTCGTCCTTGGGGTCAAAGAGCCCACAGCCGGATTGCTTCCCCAAGGCCGCACTCAGATGCCCAAGCTGCCAGGGACCTTGTGTGGCCACCCACCGTCCTCGACCATCTTGCGAGCCGTCTCTGGCGAAATACGTTCACCAGTCTTGTCATAATGCTTTGAAGCCAGAAGTTTCCACTTGCGTCTTTCGTACGAATCGTTCCACATCTGTATGTCGGTGAATTCGTTTCCGGCCTTTCGCTTGTCTTCTTTGGCCTAGATGCAATCAGCGATCTACGTCTTTGTGAAGTGGTCTCGACGTCAACATGTAGTTGGATGGTGCATGGGCAAAACATACCTTCTCCTCGGCTTCTTTTTTCTCTTTGAGCTCTTGCTTTCTCTTCAGGCCTTCCTCGCGCTTCTTTGCGGCGATGGCTTCTTTGTCTGAGTCTTTGGCCTTCTTCGAGGACTCGTATTTGCCTTCCATTTCCTTCTTGAACTCCGGCAGCTTGCCCTTGATCTCGCTCCAACGTGCCTTGAGCTCCTTGAGATCGGTGTAGCTTGTGGCTGCGAGGATGTCTTTCCACTGAGCGCTTGCGTTTTCGGCCTTCATACGTAGCATGATCTCATCGTCGGCTTCCTTGGCATTGTTGTCCTTCTTGGCTTCGTCCTTCACTTCCGCTGGCTTTGGAGACGCCTCTGGTGTATGCTTCGGATCATGGCGTTTGCCGCAGCAAGGACACTATAAAGTCAGCTGGATCTGCTCGCAAATCGAGTGAGCCGCATGTTGGCTTACCGGTTGTCGTCGTGACCTGGTCTCGGGGATTCGGAAAGTATCGAAGATGGACATCTTGACTGGCTTGATGGTGCCGTCCTTTCGACGATGATAGAACGTCAAAGACATGATGGGTGGTTCTGTCAATCCTGGTGGAAGCGTTACAGAAGGCGTTGTTGTTGTTGTTGTTGATGGTGTTTCCTAAGTCGCCGAATTCAGTTGTGAGGTTGAGATATAAATAAGATGGTGAAGGGCATAGATCAACCGCAGTGTCAAGTGAATTTGCCCTATGCCGAGCAACTGGGAGAGCGCCGAGATATCTTGCGTGAATAGCATTGTGGGGATACTACCATGCATCTGACACGGGACAAAGACTTACCTGTTGCGAGGCCATTTTTTACTTCTGCCCGTGCAGTGACGAATGCCAGGTATTGGAGGTGAGAACAGGACTTTAGATGGGAAGGGAAAAAAGAGAAGTCGTGGCCGATATCAGATATTCTCCGCTATCTTTGCTTTTGTACGGGGAGAACGGTTATATGAAGTAGGCGGTCAACGAGGCCCTATCCCGTCTTCATATAGTTCCGTCGTCCGCCATGCGCATTCACCCTCTTCTGTACGTGTGACGGCCTTGTAACCCACAGTCCGTGAAACCAGAATTCAACAGTCAAGTTGAGCTGCGTAGAAGAGGAACCAAGGATTCAACGCCATTGACTCTGTCACCTTCGTGCAATTAACGTTGTCCAGGCCATTCGTAGTAACACTGCCCTGAGGTTTCATTCTCCCTAGTCATCCCATGACATATAAAGGCAACCGACCGGCAGGGACTCAGTCGAGTTGATCGTGAGGAAGCGATTGGGGTAGCTTCACCATTCATCTTATCGGTTCAGATAGTTGGCACCAGCTGCGTCCATCCCACGCTCATATGCCCGAGCACAACTCCGCCAGAGAGCAGAGTGTTCGGGAGTTCAATAGACTTACCTGTCCCTAGACTGAAGGGAGCAACAGCCCAAGGCTCATCATAGTTATTGATATAGCGGACAGAGAAGTTGATGGGATGTCGGAGGTTTCCCAAAGACCAAGAAAAGGGGTGCGTGCGATTAAAGCGGCACGAGATGACAATGTAAGGGGTATGGTGTGTGCGCCAGGAACAGCAGCGCAGCGACTTGAACTTGACGCGAATTCACGATTGAAGACAGTAAAAGTAACCCACGGCACACCATCCACGGCAATATATTGTGCATTCAAGGGGGTAGAGACCGTATCCTCCGTTCACCAAGCTACGACCCGAGACCAATAACTCACCTTTCACAAGAGATGCGCTTCGGGGCTGTTGCGGCCTATGCCGCATTCGTAGGATGGATAGGGGTCGGACTGGCACACAACATCCAGCTTAAAGCGCACACGAGAGAGTGCTTCCACGAGGAATTGCACAAAGATGACAAAATGACGGTGACGTTCCAAGTGGGCGACCGCGAGTCTGGCGGAGCCGGAAATTTGGACATTGATTTCTACGTATGGTTTCCTTCAGCCTTCGACAAAGCGTGCAATACCCAAATATACTAATGCGCTGGCCATGGCAGATCATCGACCCCTCTGGATCCTACGAAACTCAGATGAACTCTGTCTCTTCTGGCGACTATTCCTTCGATGCCCGCATGGACGGCAAATACATGTACTGCTTCAGCAACGAGCATTGGTCCGCCAACAGCAAGGAGGTCTCATTCAACGTCCATGGTATAGTGTACGTGCCGGAGTCGGAGGCGCCACAAGATCCCCTCGAGCAAGAAGGTAAGCTGTGCTGTCAATTCCTTGACTTGAGTCCAAACTGATCCGCTCCTACGCTAGTCCGTAAACTCTCCGAGCTCATTGCCCAAGTCAAGGACGAACAAGCCTATATCGTGGTCCGCGAACGCACGCACAGAAACACGGCCGAAAGTACCAACTCCCGAGTCAAATGGTGGTCGATTTTCCAACTGGGCGTTCTGATAGGAGAGGGGATATTCCAAGTCTGGTGGCTGAAGCGTTTCTTCGAGGTGAATAGCCGTCCCCTTCCATAAGTACCCGCAGGTCTTGTCAGATATTGGATCTGCAGCTTTGAGGATGCTTCAAGCTCTGTCTTGGATGGAGTTATTGTATTTTGGCAGGGAATCGGCTGACCCATTTGTTGTCGCAGGTCAAGCGTGTTGTATGAATAGATATGAACTCTCACGAAGCTGGGCCAGAAAATACAGGAAAAGTTGAGCATTCTGATGGCTGTCTGTGTTGCAGGCGTGTGTGTTTCTCTTCGACGTTTTTCCATTGTCTGGTCATTTGTCGTGGTCTGGTGACGGACATCCTACGGCTCGATGGCAACTACCCTTATTGCGTGGTAAGCACTACTACTATCAACAGAGGCATGGCCCGCATGCACGAGCTGTGCGAGAAGTCGGGATGTCTGCCCAAAGTGTGCAGTGTCGGCCAGCGGGACGGAATTGCGATGGGACATCCTGCATACGACCAGCAATTCCTGCCCGGTATGCCTGCTGGCCAGGAAGAATAACAGTGAGCAGTTGTGCGAGACATCCGGTCCAGCAAGAAGCGGGCATGGACATAGGAGACTTGGATTGCCCTCGTTTTCGTATTCTTCCGCCAGTATCCTCCAGAGCAGGTCTTCTCGAACCGGACATCTGTCCTTCCGTTCGAGTGCCTGCTTCCCCGAGTTATGGTACGGCATAAGAGGGAGGCCCAACCCTATCGAGGTCTTTGAAGTCCTGGTCTTCATGGAGGACGGTTCCTCAAAGCAGCTGTCCGCCTGGTTTCTGGTTTGCCGTTGAGGGTGCTGCCTTTTTGATTGGAGTACCGCCGTAAGGAGGAGTAGCAGCACCCTGGCAGCGACGCGTCGGACATACTGTATACTGCATATACTAGCATTGACCAGCGTAGGTCGTTAAGCGTGGGCAAAGAGTAAGACAAGCGCAGGAGATATATCTATCGTTGCGCCCTTCCAAGCCCATGTCAACATACAGTTACAAAAGCAAAAGCACACAACGCACTATTCTTATGGGACAGGAGCAGGGAAGCCGTCATGTTCTGTGATCATCGGCTGGAGGACCACTTCCACCCTTCAATCTGGTAAACAACCGGCCTTTTGTCCAGGACGTTCGCCGTCCCACCCAGAGCAGGCGAGATTGGCTCCACCGCGGACAACGAGCTTCCCAAAGAGGCATAGAATACGAGGCTCGGGTCGCATCGTCTCACCTGGTCCGTTTCCTCACGCCGTTCAACAAGTTGGAGCATGGCCCAGTCTTGCGCGATGGTCAGATGGTCAGATGGTCAGATGGCCAGACTCCCTTGGTTCCCTTTGACGAAGTTGTCCGTTCCGATGGCCATTCCTGTTGACCCTTTCGCAAAGCGACGGGTTGAAGCTCCCTTTCATCAGTGCTTCTACGCTTTCGTATTCGCTGATCCCACGCGGGCTGGCGGCCTAGGGCCTCCTGATGCCCAATGGAACACGCCAGAACATTAGGCGACCTGGTTCGCTTGTTTTTTGACGAGGAGTTGGCGTATCCACGAATGGAAGTCTTGCCTTTTTCGTCCGCCAGAGGGAGATGAGCCTGTCTGTGCTGGAGATCGGATTGGCCACATTCCGGGAACCAAGTGTTGGTCTTGGTGGAGAGAAGCTCATCGAACGATCTCCTTGACCACCGTTAAATACTCTTGAGGGTATGTCCATGCTCAGGGTTTCGTTCCATTTGTCAGCCATGCATTGTATGATACTCGAACTTTCCCATTTGGTAACATATGCACACATCGCCGTCGTTGTGGTGTAGTTTATGCCAATATTGAATCATCATTCGGGGTTCTGATATTTGTAATCTTCTTCGTTGGTCGTCTGTTCGAAGTTGTGCATATTTTGGGAAAGTGTCCACATTCCGGCCTATATTAACCAGTGACACGAAGGGAGAGGACGGGAGGCATAGACGTTTTGTTGACCAGTCCATGCAAAAGTACAGACCCTCGCACTTCCGCAAATCGAACACCCCAAAATGAAGTTCCCATGGTCCAAACCGCGCGACGCGCGTGAGGCGGAAAAGACAGCTGATGGCTCAGCTACCTCGACTTCAGCCACCCCAACCACAGTGCCAGATACCAATTCCAGCTCGCCACCTGAATCTCAACAAGTCTCATCAGACATTATCGATCATGAGAAGAAGACCGAAGAACAAAACCCAGCACGAGCAGCAGCACCAGATGCGCAGCGATACACTGAGTCAGGGGACCCCGTCACCATCAACAACGACAATGCTGGCGACTCGAACGAAGTCAATCAACACGGTAGTTCGACCGAAACCGAAAAGAACGAAACCACCCACCACGACTTGACCCGGACCGTATCAACCGCCACCGCGTCCACCGATGCCGGGGAACCAGGCGAAGACGACGAATCCAAGTACGCCACCGGTCTCCCGTTATATCTCCTAACATTCGGCCTCACGCTATCCACATTCGTGATGGCCTTGGACAACACCATCATCGCGACCGCTATCCCAAAAATCACAACCGTGTTCAACTCCCTCGACGACGTGGGCTGGTATGGCTCTGCGTATCTGCTCACGACAACATCTCTACAGCCCTCCTTTGGCAAAGTATACACTTACTTCAACGTGAAATGGACGTACATGTTGGCCCTTGTCATTTTCGAGCTGGGATCCGTGCTATGCGGCGCAGCAGTCAATTCAGCCATGTTGATCGTCGGCCGAGCCGTGGCGGGCGCAGGAGCAGCCGCTTTGTTTTCAGGCGGTATGACTATTATAGCCTACTCGGTGCCCTTGCGCAAGAGACCTATCTACATTGGCCTGTTGAGTTCGATGTTTGGCATCGCGTCGGTTGTGGGACCTATTCTAGGAGGCGCATTTACTGACCGTAAGAAACACCTATTCTTCTCTATCCATTCACAAGTGAAGCTCGCTAACCCTGTCCTTGTTGGTGGTGTTCTAGGAGTCTCATGGCGCTGGTGTTTCTACATCAACCTCCCCATCGGCGCAATCGCAATCACAGCCGTATTCTTCTTCTTCCACAACCCGAAGCGCAAACACAGCAATTTAACCATGAAACAGAAAATCGGCCAGATCGACCTTGTGGGAGCCTTCTTCCTCATCTGCGCCATCGTCTGTCTTTTGCTGGCCCTTCAATGGGGGGGCACCACGTACAAATGGTCAAACTCCAACGTCTGGGGCTGTCTACTTGGCTTCTTTCTCCTCATTCTGGTATTCACAGCAATTCAAATCCGCAAGGGCGAACTTGCAACACTTCCACCACGAATTTTGTTGCATCAACGAACGGTGTTCGTGTCGGCGTTTTTCTCGGCATTTCTGTCCATGGGCATCTACACGCACATCTACTATCTACCTTTTTATTTTCAAGCCGTCAAGGGCACTACGGCCGAAGGATCCGGAATCCGCACCATTCCGTACCTGGTCAGCGTCACGCTTTCGTCCGTCGTGGTCGGTGGCACCATCACGGCTCTGGGGCCCTATGTTCCATTTACATGGATTGGCTCCGCCATCTTTGCAGTCGGGTGTGGGCTGCTGTATACATTGAAAGTCGACTCGTCAGCCGCCACATGGATCGGATACCAAATCCTGGCCGGGGTCGGCGGCGGCGGATGTGTGCAGATCCCCTTTATTGCCGTGCAAGTGGTGTTGCGGCAAAAGGATATTCCCGTGGGAAATGCCGTCACCATATTTTTCAATTCGCTTGGTGGTGCTATTGCCATTTCGATCGCGCAGAATATCTTCTCGAATAGCCTGGTCGAGCAGATCCCGAAGTATACGACGGGTGTGGATCCGAGAGTTATCATGGGTGCTGGTGCGACTCATATCAGGGAAGTCACGCCCCCGGACCAGTTGCCGGGGTTGTTGCGTGCTTATGATATTGCGGTTACGAATTCGTATTTGCTGTCGATTGCTTGTGCGTGTATTGCGTTTTTGCTGTCGCTGGGCTTTGAGTGGAGGAGTGTCAAGGGGAAAAAGATTGAGATGGGTGGTGCTGCTTAGAAAAGAAAAGAGAATTGAAAAAGTTGGTGGTATGGCGTGGCTTTGCTCGTTGACTTGGGTCAGGCTTAACTCCCGGGTTGGTTTGATGCGAGGCTTCTTCCCTCGCGTCGGTTCGGCTTCGAGTCTGGACTGTAGGGGATTAGCAGTAGGAGAGAGGTGACAGGTCTATCTTCTCAACTTTAGAATTTATTAAAGCACTTTTCGTCTGCATTGCGTTGCACATATGGTACTCGGTGACACTGACACCCGACAACTTGAGCCTGAACAAAGGACTTTCCCGACTCTACAGACTCGGCTCCATCGTAGGTAGCATAATTAATGATTCCACGATCACCCTATCCTCGACTCTCGAGGTTCAGAATAAGTGTCCTGTGTTCTGCAACCGCGTGGATCCTTGTTCACAGAATCATATCCTCGATTGGTCTATGAAGGCTTCAAGATGGACCAGTATCCTAGTTCGACTTTGGTTTCAATGCAAAGTGACTGAATCGTGGATTCTAGTTGGGTAATGGTGTGCACGCGCAGAGACAAGGGCGTCTGGCAATTCCACTCTGCTTTGCCCAGGGAAGCTGTTAGTGGCGGCGGTCTTCTGACTTGGCCGGACATGTTCTCTGGTCATTCACTCCTGTCTGACTGACCCATGGCTCTCTGCTCGCTGCTCTCCTACGTATCGTGACATCATCAACCAGGGGCAACGTGTCCACCAACCGCCATGTCTGTTTTCCACGTCGCGAATAAAGTGTCCTTCTCGAAAACAATAAGTGTACACGATACAATATTCCGACGGCAAGGCTATGGTTCGGTCCCATCAAGCGCCGTTGGTGTTCTTGTCCTCTCCCTTGGCAAGGTCCTAAAACATTCCATACGGACCACCTGTTCATGCTTTCTCATCATCATGGCGACAATCAGTGCCTCCTACCCACCAGACCGCAGCATGGATCATCTGCTCGATGACGATAAGTTCAGCCGGACTCCTTGGCGCATAAACAACCACTCGGGCCTGAGGCGCGTGGCCTGTCTGGGCTTCATCCATCGCTAACCAAGACGCCAACCTCGTTGACAGAGGGTGGCGCTGACCCCACCCATTCTCAATAACGGCCCGAACATCATCGGGATGTAAGGTCAGTTGCACAAGGCCGCCAGCGTAGTCGGCACTGACAATCTCGCCATAATACCGAGTCTCGTTGAAAACCTGTTGTCTTGCGAACAAGGAAACGGAACCGCCAGCCTCAAAGGTAGAGCTGCCTAAGTAGGTCGTCCCTGGATACTTGGTAGGTATGGCTGTGACGATATCCCGGAGCCGGTCTAGCATGCCACTTTCCTTGAGGGAACAGGGCACTTGCGTCGCTTGCTTAGGGCGGGGGATACCCGATATGCTGGGCCGAGAACCCACGCGTGCCGGGAGTGTTTCGAGATAGCCGCGGGTTGAGATACCTGACGGCGTCGAAGGGACGGTGGTAGGATCTGATACAGACACGACTTTGAGTAGCTGCTCGTGGATGCGTTCAAACCTGGAATGAAGGTATTTGCCTTGTTTGCTGTCCAGGAAAGTGGCAATGTCTAGCCTCAAGTATCCGAGAATATAAGTGCATATCGAAGAGCCTATCAAGATAAATTCGACAGCATAGACAAGGGGAGGGATGTGAATGTGTCCAATAATGGTGGCCATGTCTGTTATGTCGTCCAGGACTTTGCTTCCTCTGGCTTGTGTTGCCTCTCAGGAAGTTGTAGGCCGTGGGAGGGCCGGGAAATGCGCGGGGTGCGGGTGGACAGCGTTTTTGAACAGGGCAGCACAAAGACAGGTGATGGTGATACTCAAGCCTGGATGATGGAAGGTGTAACGGAGCTGCAATGGATAATATACCTACGGGGTGTGGCCACCGTGCTCAGACGGGATCGGTGGTTCGAGGTCCTCAAACCCCGAGGAACGGATAGGCTTATGACTTGATAGCCAGCCGTGGATGGAAAAGCTACATCCACATGTTCCCAAGCGACGGAAGCTAAAGCAAGTGTCGAATACTTATGCTCCGACCACGCCGACCGACCAGCAAAGGACGATAGATGAAACGAGAGATATATGGCTGTGGTAAGAGAAGGCAACGGATGGTGGTGAAATGGAATGGTATACGGGACCCACACCAGATGTACTATACGCGCTGCTGGTGCGTTTGGGTGCCGCGCGTGATAGGGGCTCGGATCAGTTGGAATGCACGGACGAATGCTGATTGGAAGAGTATGCCACAGGCTTCCTGGCGAGCGGTCGAAACGTCCCGACAGACTGCATAGTGCCTCAGAAAGATATAGCAAAAGGTGATAGTCTTGTCAAGAGTGGAAGTTGACGTTCGAAGGACGGTAGAAAGACCACCCCGCGCTATCCTGAATCAGGACAAGCATCGGCATGTCGGCATGTCGGCGATTGTATCCGCCGGTAGAGAGGACTTCAAGTTCCAACTTGAAGTTGTCACATCAATGTTCAGGGCCATGTTCCGACGACAAGCAGCATTATTACCTTCATGTTGTCCAACATCTTTGAGCATATCGGTCAGCCATCTGGTGCCGAAGACTGATGACCAAGAGTCGGAGCACGGATCATATAGTGGTGCAGGTATTCGAAGACTCGAATTGCTGTAGACATTGTACAACGTCAGGCCTTTGCTTCCGAGCGAGATCAGTCGGCGTGGAGGCACACTCTCTGACTGGCATCCACATTCCCGTAAAATCGTCTTTTTGGCATGGATACAACTCGTGTACGCAAGCGGACTGCCATGGTGGTTTCGCCCTCGTGACTCGCCATCAATGCATCAAGACTTCGTCGTATGAGCGATGCTCTGGCTGGCTCCTTCCTTCATTCAGCTCACGCTGCATATTGGTAACAGAAGACCTGAAGACTGGACAGATTCACAGAGTTTATCAGTTGCTCAATAATTGAAACATGACCTGGGCACCTTATGATGCGCGGCTGTAACTGCCCAAGCAGATGATAAAACTGAAGGCACTTCAAGGCACTTCAATACCATCCATCAAGGAGCGCAGTATCATAGTCAATAGGTTGCCTTCTCGAACCTTTCTCTACTTCTGGTCTCAAAGCGGCGTGCACCCTCTCCGTTATCCTCGCGTTCTTCCAGATATAGAGAGGGGTTCAGGTGTTGCAGCGCCGCTAGAGCGGTTCAATAAATGGCGAGAGATGTTCCGACCGCCGGCGACCTTTTGATAAGTGTTCTGGGCTAGAGCAGCATGCTTGGAGGTCACCCAGCGCATACTAGTGAATAGCATCACGATAGTGAATCAAAGGTTGTCGAGTAATAGCGCGTGCTCAAGGCTGTGAGCCCATCACGGGGACGTGAGATGGAGACCACACTGCTAGAATCCTCACTCGATAGGACGTTGAACAGCAAGTACTTTGCTCATATTGATAAGAATTTTCGGTCGATATCTGTTCGGACGTCCTCGAGTCCTAATAATGAGACGGCGGACACGGTAAGCGTGACTGTCTACCAAACCCTGAAGGACATCTTAACAGACCAGCAGGCAAAGGCGGCGGTTGAAACCAACAATTACGCAGCCATTTTTCTGCAATCGTCTTTTCAATTGCAATCGTCTTTTCAATTGTGACCGTTCAAGTGGTCGATGGCCGAGTGATGTTCAAGTTCAAGATTAGGACAGTCTGGTACAAGGATCAATATAAAGTCGTATGAGGAAAGCCTTGATTGGTCTGACGAGGACGATCGTATCCTCCAAATGTCTAGGCCAGGGTCCAAAACCTGCTTTCTCACGACCACAGCCTCCCATATTGTTTCTAGGCACCGTATACTAGCAGGAGTCGCAATCCTTCGACCGGTCGTTTGGCTGCTTTACGGTCCCTTGACCAAGGGTATGACGTCGGCGGTCATACTTTGGCCGAACAAGAAATGACCCTTGTCTATCGTCTTGCGCACACAACATAGATAAAGGAAGAGGTGGACCACTCTGGAGATTCCTACTGTATACCCCAGAGTTCACCAGAAAATATCTATACTGTAGACTCTTTTGTTAAAAAACCACCACATCTGATCAAAATGGTTCTTGGAAGGAAAACCCGCAATCATGGCGGCGGTACAACCGTCACCACCACTACCACAACCACTCATCATCCAGGCCCCGTTGGAACTGCAGCTGCGCCTAGAGTCGGACGTACCAAGCCAACCTTGATGCAACGATTGCGCGGCAGAACAACGCCTCGTGCATCGACGACGACAGCTCGACCTGCCCGAAGAAGTCGGTTCGGCGGCACTCGTACAAAAAAAACAGCAGTAACTGCCACACCCCGCCGCAAGACCAGTGTGAGCGACAAGGTGTCGGGCGCCATGCTCAAACTTCGTGGCACTCTGACTCGGAGGCCTGGGCAAAAGGCCGCAGGGAGCAGACGGATGCATGGAACCGATGGGAGGGGGAGTAGACGATACTACTGATCCCCAAACCCGACCAGAGTCCCGTTCAGGCACAGCCGGCTCAAGGAAGCGCGACTGGCTCAACTCATTGCGTTCTCAATGGAGAGACAGAGAGCGATATGTATCATTCGCCAATTTCTTCTGAACTGAGGGCGCTTCAGGGGCATGAAGAGTCCTGCGTGGCCCTGCGGCTCGGATGAAGCGGGTTGTTGTTGTATGATAGTATGAGCTTTGATTGAGTTGGATACCCATCGTCGACGGACATCCGTCGAAACAACTGTCTAATGCACTGAATTTGTCTTTTCCTTTTTCCGAACTTGGTATAAGAAAATCCCTTCTCTTTGGTCCGAATCACGTCCTGCATACGAAATCTGTTCGACGGCAAACTTCTTTGTCATGTCTCTTATGAAGCGCATGTCTGCCTTCCGGCGTTTCTTGAAGCAAAAGTAGCACGTCGTGGAAGGGCCAATAAGGTCGGTTAGAGTCTGCAGCAGAAGGGGGAATGCGGGTTCGAAGTATACGCAGTCCGCAGCCAGCACGATGTCCGGCTGTTCTGTACCATTGCGAAGAATATCTGCAGGTGGTGGCGAGCCCCAATCGTATATTGCCGCACCGACTTTCGCCTCGAGCTTGTTCAACTCGACGTTCTTTTGCATCAGCGCAAGCATAGGTAATTGGTCTGTTACCCAGATCTTTGTGTCAACCTCGCAACCCAGAGCCACCGCCAGACCAACAAGGCCGCCTCCTGCGCCAATCTCCACGATGGACTTCCCCAGTAAAGACTGCGTCTTATGGTATGTAAGCATATATTTGGCCAACACCATGCCTGCGGGCCACAGTTGGCCACCACATCCTTCTTGGAGGTCTTCATGGAGGAGCAGAGGAGCGCTGTCGGGTAGGAGGCCGTCAAAAGTCAGGCTTGTGGTTGCCGCGGTTTTGTTTTCCCGTTCAGGAACGAGATTCGTGGCCATGGCAAAGACATCGTTCTCTGGAGATGGTGAGCGCGAGGCGCTCATGGTTGATGCTTTTTTGCTCTTTACGCTGAAGTGGTGAGTTAGTGATATTTGAAATTTTCATTGTGGGTTGGGTTCTAGTCGCAACAAGTATGGCAGCGTAGAAGAGATGTTAGAAACTGAGAAGAGCAGGAACTAGGAGATTCTCGTTTACTCCCTCGAGCACAAGACTCTGTGAGGTTTGCAGCAGAGACCTGGAAGTCAGTGCACCAGACTGCGTGCGCACACTCGCATTGAACATTGAATGGCATAGTCGGGAACTCAGCAAGCGCTGATTGGACGAAGGGTTAGCGGATAGATAGTCCGGGGTAGGCTCGGCCATAGTAGGGGCTGCCACTGCACTAAAGGAAGCTCCATTCTGAGCGAGACTCAGCAAGTTGTTTGAAGAGTCCAGAGTAGTGATAACATATTATTGTAACATAGTAGTAGTAAAGACGATAGCACACGACACAGGCACTGGGTCGATGGGACCAGATCAACATGACTGGCATCACCCACGGGTATCATGATTTGCACCTCGGAAACGAAATTGCGAAATCATGGTGTAAGCCCGATTGGGAACGAGAAGGTTCCTCGCTCAGCGCAACAACGTCAGAGATCATGCTCTGGCTCCGGTCGTCCCTCGGCCCTGACATCATAAGCCGTCCCCACAAAATGTTTGTCATTACACCCACAAACGGACTCTGGCACCACAGCTGCCCGCATTCTGTACGCAATTACTGGGAAATGTCTCGTGAATTCTCGTCATTACCAGCCACAGTCCCCACGTGTCGTCATTGTTTGCGTCGTTGTGCCAGCTTTCACCAAGTCAACTGCAGCCACCATCGACCTCGCAAAGCCACTTTGGGAACCCGTCCAAGCTGTCTTCTTCCCGCATATAACCTGCAGCACTGGCTTCATTCCTTCTTCTCTTCTATCACACGTCCAGTCTACCTGTGTACCCAATCCATCAAACCAGACACTCTCGCGAAGACCTTTGACCTCTCTCACACTCACAACTTCATCACAATGGCCACTCTACACTGTATGTGCTTCCCTATCGTTCCGAAGCCCCCTGTGGTCTCGCTACGTCACCTTGAAGCTCAAATCCAACCTCACCTGATCCTGACGATTTGACAATGTTCATCACAACATGTAGCTAACCTCTTTCCTCTCTAGACCTCCCCCCTGTTAAGCCCTCTGCGATCGCCCTCGGCATCGTCTTCAACCAGATCTCCGGCGCTGGTGTGCTGGCCCCGCTGTTCGGCGACGTCTACCACCGTGCCAAGGCTGCTGACAGCAAGGAGGAATTCTTCAAGTCCAAGGAGACTGCCACCGCTGCGGCTAGCTGGGGAAGCTCTATCCTGGGCTCTGCTATTCAGACCTATGGTGTTGCGGCTCTGATCAACGCTACCGGTACGCTGAGCTACAAGGGCGCAGCTTACTTGGGTGGTTTGATCTTCGCAGCTTCGTACAGCCCATCGGTATGTTCTACAAATCACCGAAATTCTCGAAGAAATTTGGCTAACATTATCCCTGCAGCTCATCTCCGCACTTGTCCTCGAGAACCGACCGGTTGACACCGTTGCCGTCGGCGTGTTGTCCCGTCTCTTGGAGACCGTCGGCCTCAGCTTGTTCCTCACCTACTGGGGCACTCGCACGAACCCATTCGACTAAGTTAATCGCATCCCACATGAATGAGAATTGAAGCGGGTGGGAGGAAGCCCCAGGCATGGTGGAAGCAGCATTGTTGATGTGGAATGACCACATCATGGGCGGGAGTTGGAAAATGGGGATTCCAAACTCAACTTTGTATCCATAAATACCCCTTGCAATTATCAACCAACGGCGGTATTCCGGCTTGGTTTGGCACGGAATACCACCGGTTGAAATGGAGTTCATAAGTCATCGATAGGCTACAAGAACGGTCCTGAAATGAACTCGTGAAATCTACACCGTTCCCTGCTTGGTTTCTACCAGGAGTCTTTTCTGATTTGCTATTCTTTATCACTTGAAAGCATTTCATGATGGGTCAATACTTGGTTGATTTTCGTCCTCTAGCTGTCTGTGCTGAACGGGAGACAACCTCAGCACGAGAAGCTATGTACCATCGCGACTCATTGACAGCAATGCTAGTAATGATCCCCCTTCCATAAAGTGCAGCAATTCCGTGCTCTCAATAATGTACAATCCGGGTATCCCTTCGTATCTCCATGAGCTTGCTCTCCCGAGGTCTGGACTTGAACCTATGTATCCGGATGCACCCCTATGTTGTGCCCTGTTCTTGACGCACGAGAGGACACCTTGCACCCTGCTGAACACGAAGGAGGCATAGAGCTCCCATGTTCCATCTCCTCCGGACCATGATATCTCTCCACCTCTGCGTGAACTGAAGCTCGGCCTACAAGGCCCTATGTTCCTTCTCCACAGCAGCCTCCAAGCCACCGAGTAAATCGACTTCTCCACTACCAGCTTCCTGTGTTTGTATTTGTGCTTGTTCTGGTTGAAGTTGGTGTGGTGCTTGTTCTGCTTCTTCACCTTGATGATCTCCGCTCGATTGCAATGGCAATTGCGGCGGTTCAGTTTGTGGTTGAGTCTGAGTTTCTCCTAGAGTTTCTCCCTGCTCAGGTTGTTGTTGTGTCATATTATCATTCCCCGCAGCAGCGTGAGGTGCAGATGCGGTCACCATATCGACATTAGTAGTCTCTGCGACCACCTTGACGGGATCTTGATCTTGATTGAGGGTTTCATCTCCCAGCGATTTTTGTTCGGGTTCATGAGCTGTTGTCTGCGCTTCTTCCTCTGGGTGTTCAAAGTTGGGCGCAACGGCGTCTTCTGTGGTGACGGTTTCGGAGGTTGGCTCTGGCTCTGTTGTACTAGTGATAACCGGTGTAGCCTGCAGAATAGGAGGATCGGAGGAGATGATGGATGGACGGTCAAGTTGTTCGAGGACAAGTTCGGGTTCCGCTTCTGGTTCGACATTGGGGAGGGCTGCTTCTGTATCGTCTGATGTTGCGATTGCATGCTGTTGTTCAGGAGGAGCAATGGGGTGGGGAGAATTCTGTATTGCCATGTCCATGTCCGTATCTGGAATTTCGGATGTTGGTTCTGGCTGTTTTTGTGTTTGTGGTGCTGGGTCAGATACTGCCTCGTCTACCTGCGCCGCTTGTTGTCTAGCGGTCAAGGTCGAAGAAGAAGAAACATCGTGCAATGACTCGGCAGATGTGGTCTGGTGCGTTCCAGTCTCTTGTGGAGTTGGTGCTGTCACCTCTGATTGGGCCTGATCATTTGCAGTTGTTGCAGTTTGAGGTTGTGGTTGTAGTTGAGACTGGGCTGTGTCTGCCGAAGAGTCCACTGGTGGTTGTGTTGCAGCACCATCATCTGGCTTGATTTGGGTCTGCGTCTGAGCTGGAGTGTTTTCCTCGATTTCTCCCTCTTCACTGCCCTCTCCTTCGCTCTCGCTTCCAGGTCCTTCTGCATCTCCATCCGGATTTGTTTCTGCTTGGCCGTCTTGTGTAGCTGCTGGAGTACTGTCGCCCACTGAAGTACCAGTCCCAGTCCCAGTCCCAGTCATGGTAGCATCTTGTGGCACTGTGGCAGGGGTATTTTCTCCAAGAGGTATGGGATTTGCCTTTCTGCGCCCTGGGCCGCCGAGCTTCTTCTTCTTCCGCTTGGGAGGCATGTTTCGTCGAACCGGTGTAGGCGCTGGTGGTGCGTTACTAGTGGAACCGAGCACACCAGAGGCGTTTCCTAATCCTGCACCTTCTCCCAGATCGTAGCTGACAGTGTCAGAGCTGGCCAAGGGATTCGCGCCCAACGTTCCAAAACCATTGGTCGCTTTGTATGCACCTCCGTAGAGGCTTTGCATGCCAGGTCGGCGATCCGCAAGATACTTGGGCTCGGGCAGTTTCTCGGCACGGGCAGGATCAATCGGCACCCATTTCTTGACTTCCAAGTACCTTTCTTGTAGGCCCGCAGTTTGTCTTCTCCTCTTTGGCGGTAAACCATCAGCATCGAGCAGGTCATCGTTGTCGTCGGCGTTGTCGTCCTCGTCATGGGAGTTCGGTGAGTCGGGAACAGTCGAGAGGTGTTTCAATTTGAGCCGAGAGTTTCTGGCTTCGACCTCACTGCCTGGGATCCAAGAATTGGTCTTCCGGTCCCATTCTGATGGCGTCACGTTGGTATTACCCATCCGGGCTCTCCTCAAAAGAGCCTATGGACAGGTTTCATGTTAGCTGATGACAACGTCGCACAGGGGAGCAAAGTGCATTCAAGAATTTTCACAAGGACGGACGTCCACGTATCATCGGCGGAGGGAACCGTTGCAAGAACAAGGAGTGGCAATCTTTGAGAATATTCAGACAATGGAATTGCGGTGCTTACCTGTGAGTGTTGGGGCAGTTGATTGAAAAAAGACGGCAACGGCGGTTCCCGCCAGATGTCACTACCACTCTGTTGGCCCGGTTGGTTGGCGCCGTCGTTGTGGTCCGAGGAGCCTTCTTGGCTCACTCGGACTGTTCGGAGCTCGAACTTCTGGACGGGCAGCCCGTCGGTGGGGTCGAGGTCGAGACCCCCCGCCCGATTTCGGGCTGCCGCGTTGTGGTCTTGGTTCCTCGTGGAGCGGGAGGACCGGAGCTGCCTGCCCGTTAGGAAGCTAGTCTGGCTTGTACTTTGCGGATCAGGGGAGGGGAGGCCAGGGGCGGGGCTGTCAGCGGGGTTTGTGAGCTGGGAAGTCATAAGGAAGAAGGCTGGTGTCTGGTAGCGGCGAAACAACAGGACCCCAAAGCCGAGGATCCAGCCAAGGAGGATAGCCAGCCGCATCAGCATCATGGGCAACTTCGTTGTTGTTGTCCTCGGTGTCCATGTCGTAATCACCGTCGTTGTCGTCGTTGGTGTCGGTGGGGGTGGGAGCGGCGGCGGTGTTGGTGTTGGTGTTGTTGGTGGTGGTGGTGGTGGTGGTGGAGATGGAGGTGGCGGCGGCGGCGGTGGTGTTGTTGTTGTTGTCGTCGGCGGCGGCGGCGTTGCCATCATTGGGACCACCGCTCATGGACGAGAAAGCGGCCGACGCAGCACTACCTTGACCAGCCCCTGCGGCATCCGCCGCAACGACCCAGCTCTCGTGGCGGGTCAGCGTCCCAGCTTGGGCGGGATGCTGGTCTCGGTAGTGCCGGAAGACCGTCTTTCTCGCCATGAAGTCTCTCCGGCAGAGGGCGCAGAGGAACGCACCACGGCGAGGGGACCCAGCGCCGCGCCCAGCCATGCTCACTTTGACGTTGTTGATGGAGTAGCCGAGTTTCTGTAGAGAGGAAAGTCGAGGTGCGAGTTCGAAGTGATTTCCGCAGAGAATAGATTTGAGGTGAGGGTTCGAAGTGATTTTTGTGGAAGTGAGATCGAGTCAAAGAGCCCACGGTGGCTTGGCTGTACAGCGCCCCATGTGACTTCAGATCCTTTTCGGCGCCGGCGATGACAGTGATAGCATCGCCAGGGGCGATATGTGACAAGAGGAACATTCCGGAGTGTTGGGTGACGGGGGCATGGTGGTTGGGCGACTTTTGCGCCAACCTTGGGTTGATGACAGTGATAGATTGGACTTACCGGCGCCATGATTGTTCACTATTCTTTTCCAGTCGTTCCGCGTACAATGATTTATTCCTTTGGTAGTATATATATCTCTGTACAATATGTACACATATAAGGCTGGAGCGACTTTCGCGACGACTGTGGTGCTGATCTGTGATGCGAGTGATGTTGAAGTTACAAGGAGAGATCAACGACGCGACTAGATTGGGATTCTGATGCAGGACTGGATTGGAAGGTTTGACGAGACGCGCCAAGCGTCTACAACATTAGACTTCTACTACTACCTCGTATGCAGTGGGAGAACTTGAAGCCGGCTGCGTCGGAATAACATTCTTCCGCACCGACCATTCTCCTACAATGTACAACGGTGATCTACTTCTACTGCAGCAGTGCATTAAGAGGGTTGTACGGGAAGTTGTGGCTGTATAGATCACCATAGAGAACCCTGTGTGAGCACTGACGCCGAACAGACTAATATATCAGCAGTCGAGGCAAGATACGAGCAATTACTACAATGGATAGGGCAACTTGTACAGCGTCTCAAGATCCAAGTTAGAAGCAGAACAGAACACCAAGGAGACAAGAGATTCATTGATATTACAGGGCTCAAAGGATTCTAGACAGCATCGAACGTGAGACTGATTGGTGAATTACTATACACGATAGTGACGGAAAGGTGCTGAGAGGATATTTCACAGGGTGCCAGTAACACATCAATCCCAACTGCAAGAGTTAGTGAACAATACGACAACGGAAGCAGAGATGAATGATCGTACCCAGTATCTTTCTGTCGCACAATCCCGCCACGTCCTCCTGTTTCCTTACCCTAAAGACAAAATCAGCCATAGTCCAATTGAAACGAGAGAATCGCAAAGAAATAGCAGTTCGGAGACCGAAACAGCTAGGAAGAAATTCGAGGGATCTTACCGATGCGCCACCCTCCACCACCAATCTGTCGAGCTGGTACATCTGTGATATCACCGTTTGTCGCTGGAAAGAAGACACAAGTCAGTCCATCTGATCAGTAAACTAAGTATGCACATCATTCAACCATAGCAGCGGAGGCGATGCTTTCCAAAAAAAGAAAAATATCCCGGCCCAGCAGCCCTTCGATCACACCATGCGCTAGACATCGTCCCAAGTATACAGCTTCTTGAACCAAAGCACAGTCACAACATACCTTCAACACTTGTAGTTCCTTGAGTCCCTTTTGCACCAACTCTTGTATCCGCCGGGTATCCTGTTCATGCTGATGCTCATGGAAAGCATCCCTCGTCCTTCGGAGAGCGTACATTCTGAAATTGTAATTGGCGAACTGGTTCGACGTGCGCAACAGCGACCGATACAGCGACCGCACATTGATCGCTGACGTATCGGCCGCGGTAGCCAGGGCCGCTGAAGCCATTTGCCGAAGACAGATGCGGCGGGCAAATGCGGGATCGGGATCTGGGCAAGTAAAAGTGGTCTGGATCGCGCGGAGCGAGTCAGGCGATCTGTGGAGAGAGACCGACACTCGCAGAGACCGACGTGGGGAGGAAACACGGTAATGTCGTGGTATCAAATCGATGTAGTGGCGTGATATATGGGAAGAGCGTGACTCGAAAAGGTGCGGAATGGATGGTCAACTGAAAGCTCGTGTCGGGGAGTAGGGGGTCGCTGCACGTCTTTTATCTATCGGCGTAGACCCCAGGAATTGAATCTTTCCGAAACGTAGGACGACAGAACTTGTTTATCGTAATCCAGCAGAAAAAAGAAAGCAGAACTTGAACAGAAAGATGGCTACAGCAGCAGTTTGGCGGCTTTGCACGCTTTCGCCGCGGCGAATATTTGCGTCGACGGCGATAGTTGCGTCAATCGTCGGCTCAAGTCCCTGGAATCTCCGATCCGGCCGAACCTCGTTTTTACTACAACATCCAACGGGACATTCACCATTGGAAATCCACCATGCCCCCGTATTGCAGCAGCAGCAGCGTACTATTGTTGCGACCGATTACACGAAGCCTATACTTGACACACAGAGTGTGCGAGCTTCGTTTGCTCGAACGATGTTTTACGAGCTGTCTCTCTGATCACTGCGGTCGAAGTACTTCAACATAGGCACCTTACGATGGCCTCGTCTCTTCCCTCTCCTCCGTCCAGTCGGCCATCCACATCACCTCCAGCAAAGTCACAATTCGAATCACTCCCGAAAGACCCAGAAGATGGTGGGCACCAGCCAGTGCCCGCCCATACCAAGATCGAGACGGCGGATAACGAGCCGGAGGAGGATAACAACGACGAAACCGATCTCTCCCACCGCCTCGACTCGCTTCTCGAGTCCTATCTGGCCTTTTTAGACCAATACACCCGGCTCCGCGAACAACTATCCAAAGAATTTTCGTCCGGCTTCTTTGCTCTTGCACAAGCCAACCGCACCTCGACCCTCGGCCCTGGCAGACGGTATGGCGAAGAAGGCTACGACAAGCGCATGAAGGCGTCGAAGAAGGTGGATATCGACCTAGACACTTTCCTTCCCACGCTACTCGATGAGAACACAACCACGGTGTCAGAAGACAAGACCGGAGCCGGTGCTGCTGGGATTTTAGAAACGGACAGAGAACCGAAGACCCAACTGCCGTCAGGTGCTGCCATTATCTCAGAAACAAGCCGAGAGGGGAAGACACGGCTACCGTCACCGCAAGATGATCCGGTACCAGTACCTTACTCTCTACCCACGGAGAAAGACAACACAGAACCCAACCAAGTCACGACTCCAACGTCTCAATTCCCCAAAAAAGAGAATCATCAATCCACGAATCCCAACAACGACCAAGACCACACCGCCCCATCAAACACGTCCACCCTGAACGTGTCCGAGACTCTACCAGTCAAACTATTATCAAGCCTGTCCTTGTCCTGCCGCTCATACACCATCAAGACTGTTCCTAGTACAAACACCGACACCAACACCAGCAGCGGCATCAAAGACCCTCTAAAATGGTACGGCATTCTCGTCCCCCCGACCCTCCGCCACTGTCAGTCCCACTTCTCATCTTCCGTGGCCTCGACAATCCCACGTCTTTTATCTACAATCTCCGCCCTTAAGACTTTAGATTCCGAAATCCGGCGAGTACGGCGCGAACTTGGGCTTCTCGATCTGTACGACTTGGACCCTGAATACCGTGATCATGATACGGACAGCGTAAACAATACCGACAGAGAGCCTCGACTTGATGATAACGATGGTACCGCCACCGCCGGTACATCCTCCTTCCTATCATCTGCACCCTTGGTGTCGAGTGGAAAGTCTGGTAATCACACAGCTTCAGGTTCGCGCGCAAAGCTTGCTTCGTCAATCGAGACCTCCTCCTCTTCGACTACTAGTAAGAGACAGACATTGTTTTCTTCGTCACCTCAGCCATCCGAACCACGGTCCCGGCTGTTGAAACTTGACTGAGCCTGATGTTTTGTTTGGTAGAGCTCACTAAAATACGTACTGTAGCTAGCTACGAATAATGAAGAATGAATAATATAAGTGCCTACCTATTGTTTTCTGCCACGTGCGATCAAAGTTTGGCTCGAGTCATCTTTATATAAGCAGTAAGATCGAGGACATTCAAGCGCAAGACACCCTCCTGATAGCGTACGATGTAACACGGATGTCTTGAGCATGTCAAGAATGTGACGCCTACTGAGGCCTAGTTCAGGCCAATATATCATTCCAATCATACACAGCCCCTTTTGGCATTGTCTACTCTTCCTCCATCTGGCTCGATGCCCGCCTACCGAATGATACAGGTTTCCCAGAGCGAACCCATCAGCCCAACATCTTGGTGTCTTCGCCTGCTTCCGTCCTATCTTCAACCAGGTCCCCTACTATTATCTCACCATCAGTCATAGGAATCCCCCCAACACCGGAGTCTTCCTCAAATTCCACTTCCGCCTGTTGCGATCGCACGTCGTCCTTTTTGACTGGCGAGCTCACGACATGCCGGGCTGCTGGGCTTTGCACCACTTCCTCCAGGTCTCCATCCCAGTAACTCGGGCGTCGTTTCTTTCTTCCGGCGGACGATCGTGTACCCTTTCGTCCAGCCACAACATTTGGATTCAGTTCTTTCATACTTCTCCCAGCAGAGTTGGGTTCGTCCAGTGTCGTAGCCCCATAAAGACTCATGCGAACGGCCGCCCGAGTCTCTTCATCAACCTCGATTATCTCCTCGCCCTCCTCCAGTGCGAGTTTCGGATCGACTGGTCTTTCTCTCTCGGCGACATCTTCCAGAGGGTCGATGCTTGGAGTGTCAAGCTCACGCGAACGTTTTCTCGGATATGTGATTCGGGACGAATCAGCAAAGGATCTTGGCGGACTACTCCTAAACCTCTGGGAGTCCGGTAGATGCACTGGCCTTGAATGACTAGATCGACTGGGAGGTCGCGGTCCATAGGCCGGTGTAGCGTAATACTTTCCAACTCCACGAGCACTGGCAAGAGCGATGATGCCGTTCTTTCGAAATCTGGTTGGTGGTCTGGCCAGTGGCGTTAGAGTATCAGTTCTGTATGAGTCTCGAATCCTCGAATCAGGTGCTGGGTCATGTCCAACTACTTTGGCGGCCGCTGTGGAAAAAGAATACATTGCCGGACCTGGCGGCTTCAGTGCAGGTAAGTTTTCTTTCGCATAGTACCAGCCGGGTCGGAAGTTCTCGGCAGATCTAGGTAGGAAGTCCCTGTGCAAAAACTCTCTGTTGAGCTGTTCACGGTGGTGCCGAGGATGTTGACGTTGGGCGACTTGCTGCGCATCATTCCATGCATCGTGAGGGCGATTCCTCATGCGACCCGGTGAGACAGGAGGTGACTTGACCTTCAGAATTGGCATGGGACTGCCAGTTGCGGTGGCCCTGTTGAAAGGCATAGGAGGTTGGGGGATTGCGGAATGCATGGCGTGCTGGTGATGGCCATGATGGTGTTGCATATTCGGGCTTGGGGTAGCACCACTATAGGCAAATGAGCTCGGCGTGCAAGATCCATAGTGCAGACCTGGATTGGGGCATAGAACCACAGGGCCGCGCTCATGGAGCAAAGGATCAGGGCAGGGAGTCATGGCAGGTTTCGAAGAATCCCCGGATCCTGATGATGATACATCTATGTCGCTCTCTGTGCGAGGCTGATGCTTGGAAAATAAGTCGCTTAACATACCACGCTTGACCCTCGCTGAATCCGCAGCAGCTTTGGCAGGGGCAGACAGGGTGATATTTTCCTTGACCTTTGGGGATGTCTGACGATGTACAACTATTTCTCTAGACCGTCGATTGAGGAGGTTGACAATTGGCGAATCGTCCGTTAGATCAACGTCCATATCTGCTTCGCTACTTACTCGCAAATCTGTCAGCGGTCCCTCTAGTGCACTTGCAGATAACCGAGGATTGTCATCCTGCGCATTGGCGCCGTCAGTCGAGACCGTTTGGTCCATGGAAGATGGCAACACAATATCGTCGGACTCCCGGTGGTCAAGCTCCGGTCGGTCCGCAGGAGAAGTGAAACCACTGCTTGGAGGCTCTGCAACCTCAGCCCCACGTTGGTCTGTGCCAACAGAAAGCAGTTCTGGTAGCTGGGGAGATGCGTCCGGGAAAGGCTCCCTGACGTCGATGTCGAACTCTGCAAGCAGCCTTGGTGCCCGAGAATATCTCCATTCTTTGGATGGTGTTTCTGATTCTGCTTTCACGAACTGGGTACAGCTATCGGTGCTGCTAGCGCTCTCTTCTTCTGGACTCGTCGGGAGCCTGGAGTCGATTGCGCCGCTTGGTGAGCTAGCATATCGAACGTCTAGCCGTAGCGATGCTTTTGCTGTCTGGAAGAGCCTCTGCATCTGTGCAACGTGGCCTGGCATGGCGACCGATCTCGTCAAAGGGGAAGTCAATCTCTTGCGGGCAATGCTGGACGTTGGAAGTCCGCTTGCAGATTGCGGATTTTCGGCCAAGTTCGAAGAACCACGACTTGGGGTTTTGGGAGACTGGCTATATTGTAGAACTCTGGTGAAGAACAAGGATGACCGCCTTCGAGGAGGGTCAAATGGTGCTGAATAGTAGTTGCATTAGCAGCGGCTCCCACAGTCCGGCAGAGAACCAGCACCACTTTCGACCTTCACTCACGTTTTGGTGTTCCGGGCAGATGCCCTGACTGGGTGGACTTGCGGGAAGAATTGGTCGAGGGATTCGAAGCAGGAGAATTCTCCATGCTGATGAATTGGTCCGTAATATATATGCAGGATCAACCAAGATGGTGTCAAACTGGGAACTCGGTTCAGGGACAAAGAACGGACGTCTGTGACTCAGGCACAGACATAATGAACGAACGGGGGAATGGAGAGGGAAGAGGAGCAGTGTTCTCTTTTTCTTGCGATTGGAAATATTAGTAGTACAAGAGAATTCTTGACGAGGCAGGTCCCACGATGTGGGCACGCTTTGGCCGCGTAGTAGCGGACGTGTGTATTTAATGGCGGCAGGTCCGACTCGTAGCAGGCGAAGAGAAGAGCCAGAAGGCATCGTGAGAGGCTTTGTGAACCAGGTAGATGAGCATGGCCATGATCACCCGAGCTGGGTTTTGTACAGTTCTCGAGGAAAAGGGAGGACTTCTCAAGACCTGGTATTTTGTCATGGGACTGGTCACTTGGCCTCAAGATTTATATTTTTCCCACCACCCGCACACCGCGATTGTTTGGATGGGACAATCAATAGCCATGGCGTTCGTACAGGCGAGGCATCATTGAGCCTGAAACGTTGTTAAGTGATACAGTGGTATGTGGTACTCCTCTGAAGGAGCAAGTTCTCATGCCAGGACAGTTGCTTTGCGTTGTACAGGTCCATTACCTATAGTCTCGAAGGAAATGGTCGGATGTTCTGAAGGTGCGTACGCTGTGAAGACAAGACGCTGCTTACTAACCAAATTTTTATTTGTTTTACGAGGTACGAAATGCTCGGTTGACCTGCAAGTCCTTCGGGCGAAAACACCCCTGAAAATGCAATTTCCCGGCGCTCTGGAACCGCAGCAGCAACGATTGTACAATGTTGTATAGAAGTTCAAGGAGCCTGTGGTTGGAAGTGGCTGGATAGCATAAAGAAATCGACATCACCGACGTCGTGGGTCCATTTAAGCGTGAGATGATTGTGTACCATTGATCTTCTCTTCTCGTGGCCGCCTGTCATCCAGACGCTCCACGGACCTTCAGCTGGTCTGACCATCTGGGGTAGTTGATGATGATGGCAGACCCTCTGTCTGTCTGTGCGGGTTGGAGTATCCTCTTTTCTGTCATTGCCGACCAGCGTCATCGACTTGTAGATCTTCATATCTCCATGTGGTTCGCAGTTCTATTCTTCTTCACGATCATTCTCTTCTTCGAGCGACGGAATCGCTGTAAATGCAGCTCGACAATTGCTGCAACCCGCCGGGGCCGGTGGCTGAGCAGGCCACAGGAATCGACACAGGAGGCCCAAAAAAGGGCTCGGCTGTTTCAAGTCGAGGCAGACCCATGTTTGAGCATGTCTAGTGGTGGAGATCTGGCTAACAAGGACCACTTCTCGGTGCACGCGAACGTGTCAAGGCTTCGTCTAGCCGTTATTTGGCGAGCGCCAGGCCAATGATTTAGGTGTGTTTGCCAGCTAGACAACTCCACGGCCAGGGATCCGTGACCCTGAACGAGGCCTGTACGGATTTGCGACTGTGAGAATCCGTGACGAGCGTCGTGCTACTGGTAGCAGCCGTGATAGTAACGGGCGATGGTGAGGCTAGAGGCGACATGCACCAGGAACAGGCATAGAGAGAGAAAGTCTAGTGGTGTAAATGGGGCAGGTTTGGGCTCCTGGCACTCTCCGACAACAGCGCAGTCCGCAGTCTACAGTCCACTACTGCCACTGCTGCTATACCTCGACCTCAGCTGATGAAGTCTCGCGCAGTTGCACACCAGGTAGTACTGTCGTGATCTACCTCTCTACCTCTCTACCACCACTTCAAGCTGCTTGTTCAGCGACTCTTTCACTGTTCTCTCACTTCCTGACCATTGTCGCTCACTTTCACTTCACTTCAAGACCAGATTCTCTTCTACTCCCCTCTTACCAGGCTTCAGTCAACGCCTGTCGAACTTCGTCCCTTAACCTTAATTCATTCCTCAACCTTCCCTTCCGCTTTATTCACCGCGCTCATCGTTGGATACGATATCTCTGCCCCGGAGGTAGAGTCGGACATCGAGGTGCCATCACATTCGTCCGCTGCTCAAAGCGCCCAGGCGGACTTTTCTTTCCTGCACCTTCACTCCAGCTTGATCTATGTGATCACTGTGGGATTGAAGCTTCAATTCTTTCATCTCCCATATCCAACACCGCTCGCGCAGTTCCATTTGCGACTTGTCAAACATCCTCGTCCAGATCTCGCAGGCGATCCCGTCTCATTGCGACAACGACTCATTGTCAGCCATCACCTTTCAGACCAAGACCCAAGCCTTTCCTCTTGTTGAAAATCGGCAGAAGACCGCACGATACAGGTATACCATTCCTTGTTCCGCATCCTCAGGCAGCTGGCTCGCTATCCATAAAACCAAGCAAGCCTCCATATGCTAACAATCATTTCAGACTTCTAGGACCTGCTATCTGACTGTCGCGTGTCAGGAACACGCCTTTCCCATGGAATACTGAACCAAGACTGTCTCCTCCACATTCACAGCTCACTTGATACCGTCGCGACTGAGATCGGAAGCTCCTATCATCGGCACTGGTTGCACTGACTCCCCAAGATGGATCCTGCTCGGCCGAAGCCAGCAAAACCAAACTTTGCCTATCCTAATTACAAGCAACAAAAACCTACCTTCGAATATGCTCAGCCCTCGCAGTACCAACAGTATCAACAGTCCCAAGAGTTCCCCCCTCACCCTGGTGTCAGGCCATCCTCCAGCGGCAAGCTCAGTGCTCGACAAGTACCCGCTGGTGTAGGTGTCGCTCCACCTCCAGTCAGACTCGATGGCAAGCAGCGTTCACAGCAGAGCTCTCCTGCGACTGGGATACTCGTTCAAGACTTCAAGTTTCCCACTGCACCTCCATCTTCAAGACCAGGAAAAGTCAACCCAGAACATTCGCAGCCTGCTCGCCGCCAATACAACATGAATGAGTCCTACATGTCTCCTGTGGCCGAAGATTATCCCAGCTCGGGCACGACCCCCGGCACTACACCAAGCTCCAAGTTCCAACGGAACCCTATGTCGAGGGCGTATTCGGGATCAGTTTATGCCGAGAGTGGTGTTCTTGGAATTGAAGAACCTAGAGACCATACTCCGCAGGGTAGCAGGCCAGGCACTCCGGACGAGAGTCCACAGATTGTGCGACAGGCCAGTCTCGGAAAAAGAGCGAAGCCCGCCATGACCACAATCAAGAATCGCGCCAGCCATATGGAGCAAGATCTCCCCGAGAATGCACCTGCTCCTGCGTCCACCGGCAGAAACGAGACAATGAATGCCCTCAGCGCAGCTGTTGCCGCTGGCATCACCAGACCGCCTCTTGGAGACAGAACCGGGACCCCTGGCTCACGAAGTTATACACCCGTGAGAATGCCGTTCGACACCTCTCCGCCCGCATCACCCTCCGCCGATAGGGAGTTCCTACAAACCCCAAAGTCCCCTCGAACAATTGCGTCGACTAATATGCTGGAGCAAACACCGGGTTCAGGACATTCTCGACAATCTACCAATCCACTGCTCGGACTGGGCATCGAACAGCCTTCGATGAGTGACAAGATTCCTCCGACTCGGCGGCCACCCAAGCTAGACATGGGTGCCGTGAAAGAGGCGGAAAACAGGGGCAGTACAACCAGCCTGTCAGACCTGATCAAGAGAGCCACGCGGCTAGCTGCAAACCTCGATCGAGGCAGAACAGCGAGTCGCCTCGGAATGCTGGACATGTTTGGCAGCAGCGAAAAACTCGATGGCAAAAACCGTCACTCTACCATGTCGGACATGATCTCAGCCTTTCCAGCTCCGGCCGCTGGAGGGACCCCGACCCACCGAAAGGACTCTGAATGGCCCCTGGGTGAGAAAGGCGGTGCCTATGCATCGACCACAGACCTGTCCAAGGAACCTCCTCCCAAGCAAAGACGCAGGTGTTGCGGTATGACAATGCCCGTCTTTTTCTCTCTTATTGTCACCGTCATCATTCTCATCGCTGCGGCTGTATTGATACCCATCTTTCTAATTCTTGTGCCGAAACAACACAAAGACGGCAATGTCACAGGATGTGCCTCCAGTCATCCCTGTGGCAATGGTGGGACCAGCATCACCAGTGGTAGCACGTGTGCTTGCATCTGCGCGAATGGCTTCATTGGAAGTCAATGTGAGACGGCTGGGAACACCGACGATTGCTTGAGACGAACTCTCAAGGACGGGACCACCGAGTACAAGAATGCGACTATTGGATCATCAGTGTTACCATCTCTTACCGATGGGCAGGATCAGTTCAAGATATCGCTCAATGTGTCTACCATCCTCTCTGTCTTCTCCACAAACAATCTCTCTTGTGCCAGCGAAAACTCACTTGTGGACTTCAACTCCAGCAGTATCAACCAGAGTGGGAAAGCAAGACGATTTGTTATGCTCCCTGGCATGGAAACCCCAGCAGTCATGGACGGAAATGCTCCTGGCGCGGACACTCCTTGGCTAGCTCAAGCGAGCGGGGTGCAGCCGGAAAGACGACAGAATGAGGCAACAACATCCAACGGCATTGTCTTCCAAGCCACTTCTGCATCGGCGAGCAGTGCCTCAAGCCCCACCGCATCTGCCGATACGGGAGTTGTAACAAGCTTGACTGGAGGGCCGATTTCAGCCTCTTCATCACCAACAGCCTCAGGAGCCACGCCAGCTTCCACCAGCGCCGTTGGAAACGGCAGCAGTGACGACGATGGTTCGATATCGGACAAGGAGGTTGACTTCGCCAAAGTTGTGGTTCTCTATGTGTTACAGGAATCGCGAACCATCAGTGTAGCAATCAATGCACAGCAACAGATGGAAAGCTTCTTTGCCTCCAAAACTGCGGGCAATTCCAACTCGACTGTCGATGTCGGCACAGGGAATCTCCATCTCACCGCGGATTTCAACAAGTTCTGTCTCATCAGCGGTGATGGTCAAGTGGTTAAAAGCAAAGACGACTAAACTAAGCCGTGAATGAGTTGGGCCAACAACACAAGACAGCAACAGCAAATTAATCACAGCAGAGGAAGTGAACTGAGTCGGAATCACAGTTGTTTTTGCTTTGGCGGACGGCGCACTGCAGATGAATGGGCTCGGTCGGAATGGAGATGGAATGGCTGAACTGATTGATACCCTTGGTTACCACGTTATCTTGTCTCTTGTCTCAGAGCTGGGAGTTAGTAGGTAGCGTGCAGAGAGATGGGATCGATCACTGCAATCAAGCGTTGAATCATCAATCTTCTTTGTGTCTCCTGGACAGCACAGCGCATGCAGCATATGTGTGCTGGTTTGCTTCGATTCTTTTTTATTTCCTTCTCTCTTCTTTCTATGCAGCGGTGATGGACGGCAGGAATCACAATCACAACTTAGCAAGCGAGCTCTGCGAATTGAGAATGGAGCATGGCCATTGGCAGCTTTTGCAGACGTTGAGCTGAAATACAGTAGAAAGAAGGAATGCATTTATTATTGGCTTTTTCCAGCTTTTGCACCGATCCCGGAGCCGGAGGGCAGCTCAGCTGGTAGCAGCCTCGTCGTATGTACCTCCCGATCCGAATCGGCCGAGACTGTCATTCATCGTAAAGCCGAGATGGCTCATCTAATCAGATCAATCACAACCAATCAATCATCGGAATGTGTTCCGCCTTTGTTTTGTTCCTGGACGCCGGCGCCACTACGATTGAGGCGGATGGAGTCACTTCCCAGGGACGTACGCGGCGACAACTTTGTAGGTAGTACTAGTACTGTATAGTTGACGGGATCCCGAAAGTGCCGACCGCCAGAGCCGTCCGTATATCGGGTGCCCGGTGCGAATACGATACTAGTGTATGTATATATATCAAATGGTATAAATTAATAATAATGCTTTTGACCACTTCTTGAGTGATGGTATGGTGTCTAGAGGCAGAAGAGGACTTGGAGTACCCGTAACAGAAAAGAAAAACGATCAGAACAAGAATCACAGACAGGATAGAAGTCAGGGTTCAATTTCAAATTCTTGGTGCCGGTGCCAGTGGTGGTGGTCCATTCTGTTTGCATTTGCGCTGCTGGTGGTTTTACATGTCCGATACCATTCTTTCGTGACGGACGTGGTACATTGGGATTGGAATCGGGATTTCGAATTCGCTGCATCAGAAACACGACTCGGACTCGGACTCTCCAAGAATTTTGGCAGTGAGACAGCGCCAGGAAAAGAGATGTCGAACGTTCTCAAGAATGTCGTTGTGGTTGGAGGGAGTTATGTTGGACGGGTAAGCAAGCCTACACCACCCCCCCTTTTTGCAAAACTTGAACCCGATTTCGAAAAGTATACGCGACTAACGGATCATGTATCACTTCTGCAGAACACGGCAAAGGAATTGGCGCAGGTTGTGCCGGCGACGCATAGGGTGAGTACCTACTGATCCAAAGGACCTATATACCTGGGACCGCAAAGTAAAGCAAAGCGACTTTCAGCCTCCCACTGCATGAAGAGATACATGCGGCATCCTTGTACATGGTCGCATCATGCAGTGGGAAACAAGACAGTTTATGCCTCGTTGGCACGAAACTAACATGATGGCATCCCTAGGTTCTCTTGATCGAGCCACATAGCCACTTCCATCATTTATTCACATTTGTAAGTGTCGGTCCCCTTCCGTCCCCCTACCGATTCAGGGACAAGCTCTGGAGCTTTGGTCTGCAATGAATGCACAAACTGACGCCACCGGCGTGTTCTTCCACAGCCTCGCTTCGCCATCGTCCCAGGCCAAGAACACAAAGCCTTCGTCCCCTACAGCGGCCTATTCACCGGCACCCCCAACAGCACCAACCACGCCGTAATCCAAGCGCGCGTACTGGCCGTCCAGCCACGCCACCTCGACCTCGACCGAGAATGGCAAGGATCCAAGCAACTCCCTTTCGAATACCTCGCCCTAGCAACCGGAACAACACTCACCGAGCCCGGGATGATGAAGAGCGACGAGAAGAAACCGTCCGTCTCCTACCTCCAGTCCCACCAAGCGATGGTCAAACGGGCAAAATCGATCATCATCGCCGGTGGGGGCGCCGTAGGCGTACAAATGGCCACCGACCTGAAAGAATACTACCCCGACAAAAACATCACGCTCGTTCAATCCCGGAACCGCGTCATGCCTCAATTCCACGAAAAGTTGCACGAGCTCGTGTCCCACCGGTGCCGCGACCTAGGAATCAACCTTATAACCGGCACCCGAGTCGTCATTCCCCCGACTGGATTTGTTGATAATGGCACAGGCAAACCCTTCGACGTCCAATTGACAAATGGCAAAACCATCCCCACAGAACTAGTGATTCTGGCCACGGGTCAAAAACCAAATAATGCTCTAGTCGCTGGACTTGACCAGTCGACGCCAGGGTCGCTGATTAACCCAGAGAACGGCTTTCTTCGCGTCCGCCCGACGTTGCAGCTCGCTGACCCAAAATACCCCAACATCTTTGCTGTCGGTGATATTGCGGATACGGGGATCCAAAAGGCCGCGAGGCCGGGCATGGCGCAGGCCCAGGCCGTGGCGAAAAACATAAAGGCGATGATTGAGGGCAAGGAACCGACGGAGACGTATGGTCCGTATCCGGGCGCCATTCATATGACGCTGGGCATGAAATATAATATCATCTTCCGAAACCCAGACAAGGCGGCTGGACAGACGGAACCCATGGTCGTGGAAAGGCAAGAGTAAGTTTGAAGTTCTCGTCCAAACGACATCCGTCTCCCTCCCCGTTATCTGAAACGAAACCAGACCACCAAACTGACACTGACACTGCTTCCCGCATCTAGTGGCCAAGAAGATATGGGAGTCGAGGGCTTCTGGGAGAGACTGGGAGTCAAGGTCAACGACCCTCAAGAATATCATTTATAAAAAGAACTGCCCGGTGGATTCTCTATTGCAATGTGCCACTGCATCTCCGTACTGAGTACGATTTCCATGGTATTGCTTGTGGAAAAAATGAGCTTATCGGAAGTTTGAGGTTGCAGGCATAATAGATGCAGATGCATAATCCCGGACTAGGCGATATGCAAGGTTAAAGGAATGGTGCCTGGGGGATTGTGAACACATGGACTGCTTGTATAACATGCTCTTGAGGCCTTCATTTCATCCTACCATGTAGGACTCTTCACGACTTAGGAGACGACACACGCATGCCTCTAGCAGGATAGTAAACCGGCGGCATATAAATATGTTGCATGGCACGCTTCCTCTTCAAGCTGACTCTTAGCAAGTGGAGGTGGTGAAAATGATGCTGAAACAGCTTGACCTAAGCCATGCCGCCATGCTCAATCTTTCAGAAGCTCTTCAACTTCTTCTCCCGTCAACCCTAGGAGGTAAATCAAGTCGAGCATGCTTTCGTGGACGTTCAACCTCGCCGGTGCCTCCATTTGTACTTTGGACTTCGCATTCAAAGCCACGCCCAAGCCAGCGGTTTGGAGCATAGGCAGGTCGTTGGCTCCATCTCCCACAGCCATTGTCTGCGCCAAGGGGATGCCCTTGCCAGAGGCCAGACTGATCAGGAGATTTCGTTTGTGCTGAGCGTCCACAATCGGATGGTTCGGGTCAAGTTCGCCTGTCAGAGTCTTGGTGTCCGGGTCTACAATGAGATGGTTCGCAAACGCGTGGTCAAGGCCGAGTTGATGGGCTAGCCAGTCGGCAAGAGGCTGAAATCCGCCGCTCAAGACAGCTAGAGTAAATCCCAGTCGTTTCAGACATTTGCATAACTCCTTGGCCCCAGGGGTAATGACAAGCTTTGGTTTGAGATGTTCAAACACGTCACTAGGAACCCCCTTCAGTAGAGAAACCCTTTCCTTCAGCGAAGCGGAGAAGTCGAGTTCGCCGTTCATTGCACGCTCCGTGATGGCAGCGACTGCCTCCTTGACACCGATAAAGGCTGCAATCTCATCGATCACTTCTTGCTGGATCAGAGTGGAATCCATGTCAAAAACACAGAGCCGCTTGTAGCGACGGTACACAGTGGACGGCTGCAACACAACCTCACAATTCCATTCGCGCTCGAACTTATAGATCGACTCGTGTTTGGAGATAAGGGAGAAAGGGAGGTATTCCGGATTTGGGGGAGGTGAAAAGGTCACTTCCACGACTCTGGGCTTGCTTGAATCGGGGGCAAGGCATCGATGGGACGAAGTCAATCGCCTTTCCTCAGACTTGTTGTGAATGAGCAGACTGTCGAGGGTGGCTAGAAAGTGCGTCAAGCATAGTTGAGAGATGTAGGCTCCGTAGAGATGGTCGAGTGGCTCGGGTTCAGGCACAGGCGGTTCCAGCGGGTACTCAGAAATGCTCGTTGTCGGCGCTGAACCTTCTGCGATCTCAGGCAAGGGAATAGAGTCAGTCGGTCGAGCCGGTGGTGACTGGTCTGGATGGACATGAGCGTGTCGCGGAGCGGCGGAGTTGTAATATATCGTGGCAACCAGTTTGGCAGGATTGCCATGCTCGGGAACACAATTGGTGTGAGAAATGGTATGAATAGTCCCGCTCTCTTGACTGACGATAGGTGATGGAGAGATTGCACTGATAGATCTTCTTTGGGAAAGCGAGCCATGGTGGGACACAGTAGAGCGCGGACTTCGAACGGGCTGCTCCAGAACACCGTCAATGCTCGTCGTGGGCCCTGACTGATGGGATTTGTATTCGAGGTGATCATCGAGGTAGGAGGGGCTGCGTGCCAGAGTGTCCTTGCCCAGTGTGGGTTTGGGGGAGCGAGGTGAAGGGGGCGCCATTTCTCAACTTGAATGGCGTTGACCTCGCGGTCGTGCTATCAGCTGTGGTATAGGATCGTGGATGTTGTGGATTGAACCATACATGGACTCTACCAGCGCGCACTTTGTCGAGACCGCGACGCAGAAAAACCAAAGTCAAAAAAGGAAGCTGTTGCATTGGCTGCAAAGCGACGTCATCGGCTACTAACCCAATGCAGGAACGCAAACAAACTGGAAATGGATGGAACGCGAACCAATCCAGCATTCAGTTACTAACCACCACTTGAACGAACTTACTTATTGTTGTTTCATGTCTGACTCTGCTTAGGTACGGTAGACTGAGCAGAGTGAGGATTGCCGGGGTAGACAGTATGCTTTCCACACAGAACCGTAATGCGACTGCATACTCGCAACCTTCGCGCAAGACACGCGTAGTGATATCCAAGATCCTACCTAGGACGCTCGATCCAGTGACAATGGTCACGCCCAGCATCAGCTACACTTTAAGAACTCTGCTAGACATTATCAAAAGGTGTACTATAGTACTTCGGACAGTATAACACTGTTTCAATAGAGCGGTCCAACCCAATGTCGACTTCTCAAAATCGGATATCGCCCACGTGACGACAAGTTGCACGTGATTTTGCGACACGTGACCAGCGCTCCCCGCACAAATTCAAGTCACTTCAAACCTGGACTCCGTCTTCGTCATTGTGAGCTACACAACAACATGTTCGAATCACTCGACTGCGGTCAGAGGGATGATCATACTACTATTGAAATGCAAAAGCGGGTGTCGACCACTGGCCGAGGACAGAAAATCGTCAAATCTTGGCTGAATGAGGTGCTCGGAGAATCCAGGCTTCAAGGCAGCAGCGCGCTGACCGACTGCCGGCTCTGGAGTGGCCTCTGCAAGAGCCGGAGCTCTGGCCCAGCTTCCACACGCCTTCGATGCAGATTAAAAAGCATGATGAGACGGACAAATGGTCCATCGTCCCATTCTGACCGGAAGAGACAACCAGTCGACCTCGTTGTTGAAGGGGCGCCGACCCACTGAAAAGAATGAGCCTCCATCACCCAGCTTTTGCCATCGATGGCGTGATTGCACGTGACCGTCCGATGTCGACTTTTCTCACCATTTTGACGCATCTCGACCGGCACTCGGTGTCCTGCGAGCCTCTCGACATCCGAACGTGATCCACAAACTGAATTGCGTGCTCGAACAATGATATTATCTTACGGTTGCGACGGTGGATTTGTAAGGGTAGCACCACGGAGTAAAAGGGAAGAAGGACCTAGCTAGGTAGGTGGGAGTTTCAGCTCTTTCATCATCATCATCCTCGTCTGCCTGATCCAACTCAATCAATCCGTTCTTCGTCTGCCCGGGTCTTCTACCTCTCTCATACTATCCCTCCTCTGCTCCCCAACGCAACCCAAGCGCCCTAAGCCCCTGTTTGCCATTATGTCTTCTCGAGCCCAGTCCCCTAGTGGGAGAAGCGACAAGAGTGGTGCAGACTCAGGGTATGCCAGCGGCAACAACAGTGAGCTGGGGCTGCCCGAAGTATACTTTACCAAGCCTCACCTGAAATTCATCAACCGACAACTTCAATTCCTCGAACCAGAAGAGATTCTTCGATGGTGCATCACCACCCTGCCACACCTCTACCAGACCACCGCCTTCGGCCTGACAGGTCTCGTCCAACTTGACATGCTCTCCAAGTTGAAGGTACCTCGACCTCAAATGGTTGATCTCATCTTCATCGACACCCTACATCACTTCCCCGAGACCTTGGAATTGGTGGAAAAGGTGCGGGCCAAGTACCCTTTGATCAACATCCATACCTTCAAACCAGCGGGGGTTGAAACAGCAGAAGAGTTTGCTGCCAAGTATGGTGACAAGCTGTGGGAGACGGACGAAGAGAGGTATGACTACTTGGCCAAGGTTGAACCGGCCGAGCGGGCATACCGTGAACTTCAAGCCTATGCTGTCCTGACTGGCCGACGAAGGAGTCAGGGAGGTGCGCGAGGCTCTCTGGACATCATCGAGGTTGATGAGGCCGGCTTGCTCAAGATCAATCCATTGGCCAACTGGAGCTTCCAGCAGGTGCAACAATACATGAAGGACAACGATGTGCCTTACAATGCCCTCCTAGACCAAGGTTACAAGAGTGTCGGTGACTGGCACTCCACTCAACCCGTCAAGGAGGGTGAAGATGAACGAGCTGGTCGATGGAAGGGTAAACAGAAGACCGAGTGTGGCATTCATAACCCTCGTTCCAAGTACGCGCAGTTTTTGATGGAACAAGAGAAGAAAAGAGAACAGGAAGCTTTGGAGCAAGCGTTGCAAAAGGTCAGCATCCAGACATGATGATGTTTGGAGGTCTGTCTTTTTGCATTGTGAGCATAGCGTCGGCGTTTCGGGGATTGGCGTCAGCAATAAGTTGGGGAAATGCCAGTGACTTCTGGCCTGAACGTTTATGAGTGGGGGCTTGTGCTACGTACCTTGCATACTAGTACACGACGTCAACGCAGGGCAAAATAGAAGGGACCCGGCAAGAGAAAAGCCGCGCCGCTCTCCTGAGAGAGTACGCACAGTACGGAGAGCTTGTACATGAATCAAATATTACCTACTGGTAGACGAAGTAGACGACCAGATGCAAGGCATCACCCATATGAATTATTTTCAAGAACTACCTAAGGAATGGACATAGCTGCCATCACGCCATAACTTATTAATGTAGTAGTTGGGTGTCTCTTGACAGCTGTTCTGATTACGACCTCATGGCGCAGATGCTGGTCGTGCCAGTTGGCCTCGTTGGTCGCCTGTGTCACGCGTTCCGAGTCGTCGACTCTTCTCGTTCTCCGTGTTCTGTTTGACGGCGAAACCATGCCAGCCAATGCATCGGATTGATGACGAGAAAAACGCTATAGGACGCAGAGAGGAGACGGTACGCTTAGCGATCAAGACCTTGATCTTCGCGTAAGCTGATCTGGAAACTCGTCCTTGTGCAAGCCGCTGAGGACAGGCAGGTTGATGAGCTTCTTGTCCGTCAACAATATGGTAGACAGCGGGCGCTGCTGCCAGGGCCCGCTAGGAGATCTGAGGAGTCCCCTAATCCTCTTATCCTGAACCGTCAGGCATGCCCGGCCACTGGGGCCGCCCCCCTTTGTCCGCCCAAGCCAACCGGACAGGCTAGGGCACCTGTCGGACAAGCGATGACAGGGGGGTGAGTGGGCGGTGATGCCAGACGGGCCTACGTGGGAGCTCGATTTTTCCACGCAGCCCTGTCGATCCGAAGTGCTGAGCGCGGAAGGCGAAAATTTGTTCTGCCGCCAGGCTTCGCGGCGGCGGGGGGTCTGGTCTATGCGTGCCCGCCAGTGTTTCTTATTCCTATTACTGACTATTTGCCTGACGCGGCCTTGCCGTCTTGTTGCTGCTCCGCAACGTACATATATACTCGGGAGTCGGGGGTTAGCCAGGCGGGTTGTCTCTTGCTTCTTTCCTTACTCTATTCTTCCCTATATACACTGCTCTGAATTTGTGGGAACATCTTCCACGTCGTCTCTGTTTATATCGCCATGGCCAACCCACCGCATGGAGGAGTCCTGAAGGATCTCCTCGCCCGAGATGCTCCTCGTCATGATCAGCTGGCCGCCGAAGCTGACAGGTTGCCTGCCCTCACCCTCAATGAACGCCAGTTGTGCGATCTCGAGCTCATTCTCAATGGAGGCTTCTCTCCGCTGGAAGGGTTCATGAACCAGCAAGATTATAATGGCGTGGTGGAGAACCTGCGTCTCGCCAGCGGACTGCTGTTCAGCATGCCCATCTGCCTTGATGTGTCTGGCGAGGTCATTGAGCGTCTCAGCATCAAGCCTGGCGCCCGGATCACCCTTCGGGACTTCCGAGACGACCGTAATCTGGCGATCTTGACCGTGGACGATGTCTACCAACCGGACAAGCAAAAGGAGGCACAAGAAGTCTTTGGGGGAGACCCGGAGCACCCGGCCATCGTTTATCTTATGAACAGCACCAAAGAATACTACATTGGCGGAAAGATTGAGGCCGTCAACCGCCTGAACCACTACGATTATGTTGCTCTGCGCTACACCCCCGCCGAGCTGCGTTTACATTTTGAGAAGTTGGGATGGTCGCGTGTGGTGGCTTTCCAGACCAGAAACCCGATGCACCGGGCCCATCGTGAGCTGACCGTGCGTGCTGCTCGCGCGCGCCAGGCCAACGTCCTCATTCACCCCGTGGTCGGTCTCACCAAGCCGGGTGATATCGACCATTTCACTCGTGTCCGTGTCTATGAAGCGCTCATGCCCCGGTATCCTAACGGGATGGCCGTGCTAGGGCTGCTCGGTCTGGCAATGCGTATGGGTGGCCCCCGCGAGGCCATCTGGCATGCCATCATCCGCAAGAACCATGGTGCCACTCATTTCATTATTGGACGAGACCACGCCGGTCCGGGCAAAAACAGTGCCGGAAAGGACTTTTATGGTCCGTATGATGCCCAGCACGCGGTCGAGAAGTACCGTCAGGAGTTGGGTATCGAGGTCGTGGAGTTCCAGATGATGACCTATCTCCCGGATACCGACGAATACAGACCCAAGGACGAGGTCCCGGCGGGAGTCAAGACTTTGGACATCTCGGGAACGGAACTGCGAAGACGCCTCAAGGTGGGCGCACCTATCCCGGAGTGGTTCTCCTATCCCGAAGTCGTCAAGGTGCTGCGGGAGTCGCATCCTCCGCGTGCCAAACAAGGGTTCACCATTTTCCTTACCGGCTATCAGAACTCTGGCAAGGACGCCATTGCACGAGCATTGCAGGTGACCTTCAACGAACAAGGAAGTCGTCCAGTCTCTTTGCTGTTGGGCGAAACCGTCCGCCATGAGCTGTCCTCCGAGCTCGGTTTCACCCGAGAGGATCGGGATATCAACATTGCCCGTATCGCCTTTGTCGCTAGCGAGCTGACCAAGGCCGGTGCGGCCGTCATTGCTGCGCCGATTGCACCCTTTGACGCGGCGCGCAAAGATGCCCGCAAGACAGTGCAGCAATACGGCAGCTTCTTCCTGGTCCACGTTGCAACCCCGCTAGAATACTGCGAAAAGACGGATAAGCGAGGCGTGTATGCCCGAGCCAGGAGAAACTCCATTCAGAACTTCACCGGTGTCAATGATCCGTACGAGACTCCTGACGATGCCGACCTGACGGTTGACTGCGAGAAGCAATCCGTTCGGAGTATTGTGCATGAAATTGTGTTGATGCTTGAGTCGCAAGGGTTTTTGGGTAGCGTGTAGATAGAGGTCCATATAGGTGATAGACTATGCAAGCTACGACAGGCTGTTGGGTTTCTCATGTGGATGGGTACACATGATAGATGGGATAAAAAGAAAGAGATGCTGCTGTTGAAGCGTACAATCTTCCTCAACATGAATGAAAATGTCATGCTTCAAAACTCTGAACAATAGGCTGCTCTTCCGCTCGCTGTCTGATTATGCCAGGGACAAATAGTAGTACTACGAGTAGTGCAAACTGGTAGTCCATATCTACTGGAGGTATACACTGTAGTATAGTAGTGCCAGGGGCGTCTCTCCGCAAGGCTGGCGAATGGGACCGCAGATCAGGCGCCAAGGAACGCGTCAAGTGGCTGCGCTGCGCTGCGTCTCGGACTGACAGGTCAAGTTGAGCTCAGCCATACAGTACCTACTACTAATTAGTATCATTATTGATTGCAGCCGAATGACCACATCGCTCATCCAGTCCTTCCCGTCTGTTTCTCGACGCAACATCCTGAACCCTAATAGGCATTGGAAGCCTGCCTTTGTCCTTCAAATACCTCGCCCGCTCCCTGAACCGATCCTAGCCCAGATCCGCCACAATGTCGGACGGCGCACTCTTCAAACCGGAGAAGGACTTCTCCAAAGACGCGGACAGGATCCTACCAGAGGCAGAGGCACTGGCAAAGGTACAACTGCCGTCGACTTTGGGAATATTGTACTAACATCCATCTAGACCGACCTGCAAAAAGCTATCGACAAGATCCTCCCTCTCGAAAAACAAGCCAGACAGGTATGTCCGCATCCTCCCCTTGTGTCCACTCGAGCAGACCAACTAACCGAAAACTCAGTCCTCAGATCTTGCCACCACATCTCGGTGCCTAGTTACCATCGTGACATTATGTAAAGAGGCGGGCGACTGGAGTTTACTGAATGAACAACTTCAACTGCTGTCGAAGAAACATGGACAACTCAAACAAGCCATTACCAACATGGTGCAGACAGTTATGGGGTTCCTGGACGACACGCCAAGCTTGGAGACCAAGCTCAGTGTCATCGAGGCGCTGCGGACGGTGACCGAGGGCAAGGTGGGTGGCGGCATTGCCTGTTTTTGAGACACCCTTTTGATTAACGTAACGGCCAGATCTTCGTCGAAGTGGAGCGTGCTAGAATCACACGGATACTGTCGAACATCAAGAAAGAACAAGGCGACATCAAATCAGCATGCGACATCCTATGCGAGTTGCAGGTTGAGACGTTTGGATCGATGACGCGGCGAGAAAAGACGGAATTCATTCTCGAACAAGTGGACCTATGTATACAAAACGACGACTGGACGCAAGCAGGCATCCTGAGCCGCAAAATCGGCACGAAATATTTTGCCCGCAAACCCAAAAAGACGCCGGAGCAGTTGGAAAAGGAGAAAAAGGAACGAGAAGAAAAGGAAAAGAAGAGGTCGGCGGATGAGCCTCCGCCAGAGAAGGAAGACGACGTGACCGACCTCAAACTGCGGTATTATGAACAACAAATCACGCTGGCCAAACACGAAGACAAATACCTCGAGGTCTGCAAGCATTATCGACAAGTCCTGGACACGGAATCTGTCGAACAGAACCCAGACCAGCTGCGGGCCGTGCTCCAGCGAGTCATCTATTTTGTTCTCCTGGCACCTTACGACAATGAACAATCGGATCTCCTGCACCGCGTTGCACAGGACAGCCGCAATGCCGACTTGGTGCCTAAGGACGCGGCGCTGCTCAAACAATTCACCATCCCCGAACTGATGCGCTGGCCTATGATTGAACAACAATACGGCGACCATTTGTGTTCGACTGACATCTTTTCCAAAACTTCTGATGCTACCGATCCCAAAGCACATACCCGATACGAAGCCCTGCGGCACCGAGTGATTGAGCACAACGTTCGTGTGATTGCAAGATACTATACTCGCATCACCTTTCCGCGTCTGACCGAGTTGTTGGATCTGTCGGAGGAAGAAACGGAGAAGTATATTTCCGATCTTGTCACGAAGAAGACGGTGTATGCCCGTATCGACCGGCCTGCGAGGGTGGTCAGTTTCGAAGTCAAGCGGGGACCTGATGAGATCCTGGATGAATGGGGTAATAGCATGAGAGGACTGCTGGGGTTGCTGGAGCGAGTTGGGCATCTCATGCAGCGAGAGGAGATGATGGCTCGCATCCAGCCGGGTCCGGAGAAAGAGGGCAAGAAAGTCAAGGCGGCGTCGTAGATCACATCCTGTGGCGGCATTTGCCTTGCCTGGCGGGTTTAATCGAGGTAGATTCTTTATTAGACAAGACATTGGCCCGTCGATGAAAAATGGACTGTATGATACTGTATCTCATGTTTCCATGGTAGTGGACTCATATCGGTTCTCAGGACGATGATATATCGAGACTACGACTACGAGTGCTGGTGCTGGTACATAGTACTGGTACATTGGTGTCCGGTTCGGTCGGGTCTCGTCTCTACCCTGATTTTATTCCCTGATTTTATTCCCTGATTTTATTCCCTGATTTTATTCCCTGATTTTATTCCCTGATTTTATTCCCAATTATTGTGTTCATATATAGGTGAGTATAGACGGGAATTGGATTCTATCAATTATTCGCTTAGTTACTTTGCTTTGCTTGACTAAATTAGACTCGCATTCCGTTGTTCTCTTTTCTTCTCTCAATGCAGGCAAACTTGTTTTACTTTAGGCAGACACAAGGAACCATAGATCATGGTACTGATATTGGCAATATCCCCCCGAGTAATAAACACCTAGCTCTCTTGCTGTTTCAGATATGGCTGATAGCCGGTACCCATCTGACTGCTGTGACGGCATTAAAATCTACTGTAGCTTGACTAAACCCGACCAAAAGCATATATCATGCAACACTGTAAATGCAACTAGGTACGCTGCATTGCCATCCGACACACATTTCACATCTCACTCATGTATCTTTCTCATTTCCTTCCAACATCCACACGTATCACCTCAACATCCTCCTCCGCCGCTTCCCCATGCTCCAATTTCTGATCCGTCCCAATAAGTCTCCACACCCGTTTCTGCGCCCTCAATTCCGAAACCAAGCACGCAATATATCCCAAATAGAGACACAAAACAACCCCGCCCACCACGGCTTTGGCAATGCTCACTTCGTGGATCCCGTACATGAAGTGGCCGCGGATCTGGGGTGGACAGATCGCCTGAGACGACGGTACCAAGTTTGAGTTTGAAGAACCGTCCAGAGACTTGTGGTTCGACGTTGAGGTGGCTAGTTCGCAGTGGATCCAGAAACTTAGATTTGTGATCCAGCCTGCCACGAGAAGAGAGGAGAGAGAAAGGATGGAGAAGTAGATTGTGGGACGGGACAGAAGGGGATGACCCCGAGTGGGAGTGTTACTGTTGTGGTGTATGACGATTTCGAAAAAGAGGTGGATGATGCTGATTGTGGGGGTGGTGAGGGTGTAGAAAAGCAGTGCAAGAAGTGAATCAGAGGATGAATCTGAGGATGGAGAGGTGTCTCGCAGTGCCGGTGATCGTTGAAACAACGAACTGTCAGCCTCAGCGGTGCTGTTTTGTGCAAGCAAGTCCGCAATGTCGGTGTGTGGTTTGGCGACGCAGTATGCGTAGATGGAACCGAGGATTAAAGTCGTGAAGACGAGGGTTAGGAGGATTGGAAGGATGATTGTGCGGAAGTGGTGGAGGCGACGGAGGGATGGGGCTCGTGGTAGTTGACGGTGATGATGCTGGTGGTGGTCTTCTGAGTCGAGGTCTGATGGGTTGGTTGTGTGATGAGCCTGGGAGATGGGAAAGCCGTCGCTTGAGTCGACGCGGCGGGTGGTGAATTTCATGGTTCTTTTGTCTCGAATTCAAGTTTGCTGACTCGGAATGGAATTCTTGTAGTGGTGTGTGTGTGTGCCTGTGCTAGGACTCTTCGGATGGCGGATAGTAGAGGGCGTTGATTCTGGATTATAGGTCGAACGGGGGAAGTCTGACGACTCGTCCACAACGTATATATGACTGTGAGAGCGACCAGCGCAGAACAGAAACGAAATAGACCCGTTTCCCGTAGAATGAATGTAAACAGAATGCCCAGCACTGCAGTAGGAAATAAAAAAAAGAAGGAAAGGAAAAGAGATAGGAAGCAGACCACACAGCAGAAAGCGATACTGCAAGTGAAAGACCAGCAAAAGCGAGGCGAGGCTCAACTACCTACATAGACTTGCCTCTTATCTATCGATTCTTCCGTCTCTCAAGATCAAACTCTGACGCACCTTTTTTCCGTTGCGGTCAGTGAGTGGTCGACGGTCAGCGGCAGATGCCACAGACAAAGTCGGCTTGACCCAGTACCAGGCTACCAGCCCAGGCTATTCATTGCATGAATAGAAGGCCGGGCGAGGTCAAGTAAAGGCAGCAGACAACATGATGCTGCAGGCCTTCAGCCGCGAGATGGCCGCGGGTCGAACCTATTCTTGTCGTCTGTAGTTGTGGCCTTTCGCGCGTGGATCGCGAACTCAAGGCAGTCAAGGTGTATCGAGAGCCAATGGATCATGGGCAGATCGCACCAGCCTCGACAATGACCACTGGCGCATGTTGCGGCGGACGGCATTCGGGAACTGACCAGGCGGCTAATTGCAAGGCAAGGCGAGGCAGAACAAGTTACCGCGATGGGTGTCTAAGCCCCGGCCACTGCGGTTTGATGTTTCAAGGAACAAACAAAGAAGCAGACAAAGAAGTTGGACGGGTGGCCCGGTTTCATGTTGTTGTTCGTGTTTGGCATTGGCGCTTGGCGAGAGATTGGCCGGAAGCTGAGCTGAGAGGAAGTTTGCCAACTGCCTGTGAGTTCCTTACCGCCGAGCAGCGACTGGTTGGACGAGGACATGGAATGTTTTTCTTCTTGTCGTTTGATGAGGCCTTTCTCCTTTCTGAGCCTCTGACGTCTGCTCTGTCAACTCGGTCATCGAGATCGAATATCGTCCAACAAGCGAAAGATGCGTTGACGGGTTGGCCTGGTCTATGCTGATACTCGAGCCACGATCGAACACCTGACATGGCATCAGCTGGACTTGAAGAGACAATCGACATCATTTCGAACAATGAGACGATTGTTGATACCACGGCAGGCACTGGTTACAAAGCGTGGCAGACAATGCGCCGTAATGGTTCGGCTTTATGGTTTTTGCCGCAATTCACATCCTTTCAACATCATCTTTGTCTTTCCTGACGCTGCCATATACTCTTTTTTGGTACTCTTCTTTGGAGCCGCTCAAGTAAGCTAGTGCTTCTGGCGGTGCCAGCAGCTGATTGTGCTGCGAGGCTGGATCAACGTGGAACTGTCGAGAGGGATGCTTCACCTACGAGATATACGCACTGGCTCGACAAAGACCGCTTTATAAACCATCTCGGGAACAACGCCCGCCTTGTAGGCATTCATTCGCTTTTTACATTTCAATTGCCTCGCGCACAGTGCCCTACTCCTTCACACACCGAGTCGATTCTCCGTATATACATACCTCCCTCCATCGCCATTGCTCACCGGTATTCTCACCACCATCAACACCCCAGCAAAGTTACAAGAGTTTTAACACTCTAACGCGAAATGGATCCGTCCCCTGCTCCCAAGGGCTTGGGAGACTTCGGAAAACTGCCACCTGAAATTCGAGTAAGTATCTACAAGCAATGTGTCAATACATGTTCGGCCGATGCGCTAACTCGTGCTAGTCGAGCCGTCCACGATGAAGTCGACTTTTGCCAGCACGACGACTTTGTGCTGACCTTCGACATTAATCCTCGACGGCTCATGTCTGTGGTTACTTGCCTCAATGAAGAAGGAACGCCATGGACGGCGGAACCGGAAAAAGGTGTAAAATACATCGACACACGATGGCATCATACCAAAGATGAAGATGTCCATATCCCCGTTCCCTTTGAGAAACTCAAGGCGATCAACATCGACATCCACTCGCCAAATGTGCACGATCCCGGTCAACTCGTTCAAGGCTGGCACCAGGTCACCCGGTTCCTAGACTGGCTGTTGCCGGATTGGACCGATTCTGGGAGAGTACCTCAAGGCCAGCACGACATCTTCCCAGCAAGAACTAATACCAGTCTCAATCTACCGAATGTCCACGTCCGGATTGTCAGCACCCCATCTGCAGGCTTCCAGCATAGTATTGTTGGCCCGTTGCGCGATGTTCTGATGCCAAACACCGACGAGCCCAACCAGGACGAGACGGATTTTGAGGAGAGCGACCTGGCAATTCTTTTAACCCCGTTCCGTCGCATGCGTCGTGCTCGCTCGTTTACGGTCGAATTGCCCACTGCCATCAGCGAACTTCAAAACCCGTCCCTGCAAAACATGATTGCAGAGTTGACTACACTGGCGTGCTCTCGGGAGGATTTCGGCCTGAGCTGGGAGAGAGACTCGGCGATTATGGCCGAGGAACACAAATGGCATACCTGGCTGAATTACCTTTTAGATGACCTCGATGGCCCGAGGGCAGCTCAGCTTCGACGGTGTCGACTCTACGTGTGGTGTGCAGGCTATGAGCAGATGAGGATGATCCAGAAGGACGGAATCGAAGACCAGACGCAGGATGCCGCATTCGGTGCTGGGGACGTCCATTTTACCCCGGATCAATTTGAGCGTCTCTATGGGCGGGATATACGTCGATATGGTGCGAAAACCTTCCTGCATCCATCGACGGTGGCTACACTCGAGTTCTACGCGGACCCGGACTCGACTGAACAGCTGGTGTCATTTGACAAATTCCACCCTGCAGGGTTTCCGCGAACCTCGTCTGACGAGTTTCAAGAATTGCTCGAGGATGCAGTCCGGAGGATGGATGCTGTGGTCCAACAGACAGGTGGACAGCTTCATCTGGCGGGATCGAGGTGTCGTGGATGTGAGCAACACCGCAGGCACCGACGAGACAGACTGATCGAGCTAGAAGAACAGGGCTACATTGAGCAGGCGGAGAACGAGGAACTTGCGTTGGATCAAGACACCGAGATGGCCGATGTGGACTAGAAGGAGAATTGCAAGACAAAGGAGAGATGTGAGAGTAGAAGTAGGGGCAGAGTCTGAGGCAAGGCGCTGGCGTCGAGTCCAAGACATAATGCAATCTCTGTCTTTGGACAACCACAATTTATTCTGTTTTTGGTTGAACATTATATGATAGTTATTGGGTGATAAGCTATACTAGTAGCATAGTAGTACATTGTACGCTGTAGTACTGTATCTCACGTTGTCCGATATCTTGATAGACATGCGTTGCTGTGGCTCAAGTTCCCGGCCTCCACTTGCACCGGTTCAAGTTTGACGCTCCGGAAGTTCGGCACGAAAGTACAGCAGCTGCCAGGGGGTTTGTCTCTTCCGGCCACAAACCACCATGACTAGCAATACTAATCAATAAATGCTGGCCATCATCGCGCCATTGCTGCCATCGTGCCTCGTACGGAGGGTTTTCAGATCAACATATACCCGAATCGAGTCAGAGCAGGAGTCGTCATGTACGAGATGGCAGGGCTCGGTCCACTCGCCTCCCTCGCCGCAAATCTCTGCGTGCTATTGCTACCCACATTTTTGCCCAGTCCGAACGGATCTGTCCCGTTGCCCTTTGCCGTCCATGGGCGCCGGCTGTTGTTGTTGCTCCAATGTTCGGCCATTTAGCTAAGTCTCCGGGTGATTCTCACGGACACTTATGGCCACCGGTGACTTTGGGAAAATTCCTCATTCTCAGGACGACGACCACACTGTCTCCTGTAGGGCCGATTGAAACCTTCAAAAGGGATCGACTGGTGTTCAGACGTGATCAGTGGCCCTGCAACAAGGCTGCGAATCATACTCTGGTCCCCGTACACTGCCCAGTTTTTTCTCCCGTTCGGCTAAGACCGAGACACGGCCGACTGACTGTCCACTGCCCACCATGAGTTCTTCCACCATTCTCGACGACGACGTCGAAAAGGAAACCCAAGCACAACGGCCCCATCAACCTGAAAGACTCGGCCTGACCCGGACACGGTCGTCTCTCGACGAAGCGCTTGATGCCGCAGCCAATATCGATGAGGACGAGCATGAGTCTGGGCCTCCAGTAAACAATACCGCCACTTCACCTGCGGATCATGCTCCTCCTCCAAACGGTGGCTTTCATGCCTGGCTCCAAGTGGCCGGCTCCTTTTTTTTGTTTTTCAATTGCTGGTATGTGTTGCGCCTCGTCTCACTGTTGTAAGACTAAACTGTTTGTGTACAGGGGAACTGTCAACGCATTTGGTGTCTTCCAGACATACTACGAGACCAATCCATACTGGCACGAAAGCCCCAGCAATATCTCGTGGATCGGCTCCATCCAAGCGTTTTTGCTGCTTCTCGTCGGTGTCATCACCGGCCCAGCTTACGATGCAGGTTACTTCCGTGCCCTTGTCACCACGGGTGCCATTCTCATCCCTCTGGGCTTCATGATGACCTCCCTGGCCAAAGAGTACTGGCAGACCATGCTGGCGCAAGCACTCTGCATCGGCATCGGCAATGGCTGTCTCTTCATCCCTTCAGTGGCCATCCTGCCGCAGTATTTCTCCACGAAAAAAGCCCTGGCCAACGGTATTGCCGCCGCCGGCTCCAGCGTCGGTGGTGTGATTTATCCTATTGTTTTTCGCCAAGTCGAACAACAACTCGGATTTGGCTGGGCCACTCGAATCATTGGTTTTATTTCTCTGGCCACCGTCTGGTTCTCCGTGCTGGTCATGAAGCCTCGCGTCATGCCAAAGCATAAGCGACATCTGACCGACCTGGCCGCATTCAAGGAACTTCCATACACGCTCTTCTGCATCGCCATGTTTTTCGGGTTTATCGGCTTTTACGGCCCCATCTATTATATTCAGACTTATGCGATCCAGAAGCACATCACCACCGAGCATTTGGCGTTTTATCTGTTGCCCATTCTCAACGCCGCCAGTGTGCCCGGTCGCATCATCCCTAATTTCATTGCCGACCGTACGGGACCTCTGAACGCCTTGATTCCTTGCGCTCTCATGACCGCTGTACTGGCCTTTGTCTGGATCGCTGTCAAGAACCTGGGTGGGACCATCGTCTTTGCGTTGTTATATGGAATGTTTTCGGGCGGCTTTGTCTCCATGCCTCCGGTTGCCATTGTCAGCTTGACCAAGGACATGCACAAGTTGGGCACTCGGATGGGTCAATGTTTCTTCATCAGCGCTTTTGGGTTGTTGGTCGGCACCCCTGTGTCCGGCGCCATTCTCAACAATTCGGGAAAATGGATCGGTGTTCAGTTATTCAGCGCCATCACCATTTGCATCACTGGATGTTTGTTTGTCTGGGCCAGGATCGATGCTGTCGGATACTCGTTCAGGAAGCGAGCTTGAAAAGGAAAAATCTGTTTCTGTTACAACAAGTCGGCATTATTCAGCGTGCATGTGCATCTTGCGAGTTGGCATCATAGAAGCGGTTTTGAGGCGTTCACTTTTACTTTGGCACTGTGGGACTTGATCACATTGAAGTGTAATTTTACGATTGGAACAAGTCAGAAGCAGGAGCAAGCGTTGGCCAAACAAAAGAAAGACACTCTTAATTGACGCGTCACACGAGATATTCATCCTCCAAGTCAGAACCCCAGGTTCTCATCTCCGCCTTTTGGAAATGGACGTTAGTCGGCCAGGACAGTGAGACAGGTTCAGACAACCTGTCCTCATCGAAGGTCATGGCATTTCATTTCCGTGTTCAATAGCCGGGTACCAGGATCTCAGCAATATTATACCACAGATCATAGCATTCTCATGGCATGATTTCACAACAGATCGAGAAACGGAGGAAGGACGGACGGACGGATGGACAGACGGACGACCAACTGGACGAGAACGAGTGGACGCACGTCTTCCATTCTTGCGGCTATGTGGGTGCAACGAGTTTACTCTGCTGTCACTATCGGTCGAGATCTGGGTTGGTGAGTTAGCAAAGAGAGTCCTTTTCAAAGAGAGCATGGAAATGGCACTTCAAAACACCCTGAGGGCTTTGATGCGTCGAACAAAAACTGCAAAGTGACACTATCAATATCGGAGGAGACGGGAAACGGACAATACAGTTCCAACCAGACAAAAGGGGAGTCTCGGTCGACTGGGTTTGAACTTGTTATGCCCTACGGTGGCAATAGCACGAGCGACCAGATTCCAGATCTCGAATTGAATTCAATCGTACAGCTTCCCTATTCAAGATAAACTACAGTGCCACTCGAAAATGGAATGAACCACATCGCAGGGAATCAGTTTTCTCCTCAGAGTCACCACCAACCCATCTACAGACTACAGAATACTGTCTACTGTCTACCGTCGACGTTTACATCTTATGTACCACTTGAGTCAGATTTCAATCAACATGGAGGATGGGAACCAATCTCATACCGTACGAACAGATTCAAGGAGAGTTTGGATCCATTCTTCGTTCGTCTGGAGAATGACATTCAGATCCATCGGGGAGTTGGTGACTTTGGCTTTGTCGGCCTGGCCCATCTCTTTTTTCTCGTTTTTGTGGCCGTTTTTCGTTTTCAGTCGAGACATATTGCACCCTCCAGTTGTCATGGCACGGTATATGCTATGCTGTCATACAGTACCCTCCCTGCACTGCCCTTAATTTCCTTGCTCTGAATTGCCTTGCCTTGCCTCGATCGAACTATCCTGCCCCTGTTGTCCTAATCTACCACGCGATCGGAGACCAGAGAACTGAGAACCGAGAGCTGGAGACGGGTGCCGAGTGACGACGGGTGATGTGATGAGTGACGATCTGGGTGATAAGTGATGGGTTACGAACGAACGGCAACGACAATCAATAGTCGTTCGTTGTTAAAGGTTTTTGTCTGTCCGGTCGTTCGCTTGTTCGATTTCTCTTCGCATATAACCTCAGCCTGCACCTATTTTTACACTACAATCCAACCAGACCACTGCTTTCCGACGCTTTCCATCTCCGTTCTCATTCTCTGCCGATATCTATTCTGTGCATTTGTCCCAAAAGAAAGTCGCCTTCCGAATCTACATAAATAGGAATCATCTCCTCTCCGCAGCCCGGATACGATACGTCTACTCCACCACGTCCAGAGTCATCTACAGTCCGATTCGAACGAAACAAGACGAGGCCCTCGACCTCCCTGTCCTCCCAAAAAGGAAATCTCTTGGTTCTTGAACCAGAGTCCGAGTTCCTCCTCTCCTCTTCCAGCGACCCGGTGCGGTCTACATACAGTCAAGGCCCGGACTGGCAGTACAACTCAAGGTTGAGTTTGTGCAGCATGTCCAGCCCCACCCGCCGCCGAGAAGACCGCGAACGAAGACGAGAAGAACGAAGATGGGCACGAAGCCAAAGACACGCCCATGCCCGTCACGATGACCACTCCCACTCGTACTCCTACTCCGACCACTACTATGACCGCGACCACGACCAGGATTACAACCACCATCACAGAGATAGGGACAGGGACAGGGAGAGGGAGAGAGACAGAGACAGAGTCAGGATCAGAGATGACAGAGACAGGGACAGGGACAGGGACAGGGAGAGAGATCGAGAGCGGGAGAGAGATCGAGAGCGGGAGAGAGATCGAGAGCGGGAGAGAGATCGAGAGCGGGAGAGAGATCGAGAGCG